AGAAAATTTCAATTCAAATACCACTTCACTTTACCGACTTTTAATGTCCAGTATATCACTACCTGATATTAATTTCGTACAGGTAAGACATGTATTCAGTATGGAAGCAAAAACCTGTCAGTGTAACATAGTTCATTTTGAAAATACGAAATAATTTTTTTTTAAATACAAGATGAATCTTTTATATATCTGATTTTCCACTGAAGTTATTATTTTTAATTAACAGAACAAAATTTATTTAGCACTGCTTAAAACGCCACGGTAACGAACATCTAGGCTTTACGTATGTATATATATAAAGTGTATGAAGGCATTTACTATGTGTAGTATTATCAGAATGACGTTAGTCATTATAAACCGTTTTATATGTAACACTTGAAAAGTAGTTAAAATTCTCAATAAAATTCTGAGATGGAATTCTTGACCTCGAGCCAGCGCAAAATACGATAGGTGATGTAAGTGTGCCCTGTTGCATTCCTAGTTGTGACCGCGTAAAATGTTTACCATTTATAAGAACTGAACAACAGCTGTAATTCTGTCCATACGGATAGCCGTTCAATAGTAATAAAGCCGAACAAGAAATTGCACACAGGATATATGGTCAGAACAAGGCTAATGGTATTTCAATTAGTAGCCAAGCGGAGAATGATGGACACCGTCGCTAAATGATGTTTGTGTAAATCTATAAATACCCATCATCTATACGATGTTGAATGGATTATAGATTTAGAATATGGGAGGTACACTATTGTGTAAATACGGGTAACATTGCTTGTAATTTAAATGTCGTGCTTTATACTGGTCAGACTTCGCTAATATTAGTAGTGCTTTCAACATGGGATGTATTAAAACTTATCGTGTGATAGGAATGTCGTTTTTAGCCGGAATCAAATATATCTTCAAATGACCATGAATGTAACACAGTAGGCGTAAACACGCGCACTTGTTGGTAATAGCCATGTTTACTACATGTTGAAAAATAATAATGTTACATTTACAAAAGCAACATCTCATCAATTCATATACTCATACTATTTCTTCGCGTTGTGTCTGGTATCAGAACTGTCCATCTGGTGGGCTCCCCCAAGGCCGTGTGTTCTAACCTAAAGATCGCCCCCTTTTCTCTTACCCTGGACCAAGCTTGTCCGGCCATCCCCTAATATGGACTTCACTTGTTGCTAGATGATACAATTGTTGAAGTATAGCCACCTGTAATTGTTACTTGAAATAGACCCTTATAAATACTCTACTACTAGGGGCCACTGTTAGAACGTGAATTTGCATAAGTTTGATTATCAAGGAAGTGGGGATAGTCTCTACTTAATTAACTGGCCGAAGCTGTACACCCACTGATAAGATTCTCGGGGCCCAGACTACACCAACCTAAGTGTATATATGCAAGTAATTATCCACACCCCTGTGAACTACCTATATGTGTTAAATTGATATAGTATTGAATATTAAACGAACTATTGTTTAAGCTAACTTATTTCAACCAATCCCATATGAAAATCCAGCTGTTTTACAGAATAGACTAACAGGATCAGAAGATATCAGTGCTGTCCACTGTAAATACAGTTACGAAATATCGGTGTGCAATCATAATTCCCTTCCAGCCTACCCGATATTACGTATCGATAAAATTAATCAACCAGTCAGTCAAATATTATTGACTTAAATATCTGAGTTACGCTAATATCGAAACCACATTTTGTAACAATATATCTAAACCCTATTTTGTTACATGAGGTACATACGTCTCAAATGTGAAGGATATATCTATAAATGATGGGGTTACTGTTGAGAACTGTCGCTTTGGATGGAGACTAAGAATTAAGAACGATACTGTCTTAAAGACATAGCAGGAGAAAAAAGGGGAAAATTACGGAAAACTTAGGGGGACAGGGAACTTATTTGACCTTATTCTCTGTCCTCTCAAAGAGGTCACGTATTTGTTCTAAATCGAACACATTCTCTGTTTAAAGGTCACGTGCGATGACTCTTGTTTCTCTATGAACATGTGATAACTATTTTGATTTCTTACTTAAATATGGTATGATGTAATTACAGGCAATATCTACATTATATTATAAACATCCATTCAGACAAACGTGTTTGATGTGATAAGATAGTAAGTTAGTTGCTTTGTTCCCGAATCGAATATGGAATCAGTATTAGGTGTAGTCCCTTCTTCTTGTTGATATCTTATTTTTGAGGCATTAATAAATCCGTAGAAATCCCCATGCATATTTATGCAATTTTATAAATGTCTTCGCAAAACCGATGATGGCATGGTGATCGCTTTCTACCCAGATTGGTGTCGAGAGAATCATGATTGACATCGGTCTGTATGTATATGAAAAGAATTCTCAATTTCAGATTCTCCGTTACTAACATATATATCCTCCCTGCCTTCTACACGCAGACTATGGTTAGAATTCTTTAGGTAAAAATATTTGATTAATACCATCCTCTACATACTGAATTCAGTTATCATTTATAATGCATATTGGGATAGAAATTGATTTTTTCATACCAGACTAAGATGTGAATGCGGTCCTCTGAAATATGATTATTCTCGTGCAAACTTGCAACTATCTTTGCGAAACAACATTTTGATAATTTGACTATGTATAATTTTGAGATTAGTATCATTTGGTGATCAATTAAAACCGCCCCCTCGCTCAGGTCTTTTAATGAAGAATTCACAATGATCTAGTCTAGTGTTTGGGGGCTTTTTAAGTGATCTGGCGGGAAATAGCACGATACAGTGACGTAATCAAAAATGGCGGATTGAAAGATTTTCGAAGCGCCGAAGCTTTGAATAGTTTCCACCACACGACGATATATACGTGCACAGACATCAATAAGACAGAGTTAAAGAAGAAATATGTAAACTCCACGACAGTCTAAAAAATTAAGGTAAAATATTTGGGCTTTTGAATGTGAAGTATTGCGACGTAAGCCTTGTAGAACATTCAGTGAATATTTTTGTTGTATTTGAATTGTTAGAAGGGAGGAGAAGGTAAACACGAAAAGGAAACAACACTACTGTTTTCATTGTCAAACAAGTAAGTTCCATAGAAAAAAATAAACTGAACCACATGGATTTCTAATCACCTCTATTGAGAATGGATGGCAGACAGAACTGATAGATATGATAGTAGGGTAACAAAAAACTGTTTCCACATGGACAATATGAATAGGACCAGGGGTCAAGATAAAAAAATATATAAGAAGCAATGTCGTCTTGATGGAAAGAAGCATTTCTTCAGCTATTGAGTTGTTGATTTATGGAATAGTTTACCCCAAATTGTTGTCAAGCTGAATCTGTTATACAATTTGAAATTGGAAAAATAACCCTTTACAGTAACTTATGTTAAGCCATTGTACAGGGGAATTATTTACATTATGCTTTGTGTTGATATTGATATGGACATAGAGGCTGCAAGCCTGCGTACATTATTTATGCTAATAAATGTTAATAAAAGAACATTTCTGTCTCAACAAATGGTGTTTTGATGTCGATATTCACGTTTAGGTTTTGTTGTTATCAAAATTATTTTTTTATATTGATTGTAATCTTTGGATTAACTAGGAAATGGTAAGGAGGCGGACACAAGAGGCGTTCACTCTGCTCCAAATACACACTCTTGTGACCTGTCAGTGACTGAATTACAATTAAATATGGATACTTCTAAATTCTGTCAATTATAAATATCCATTGCAAACCCTTCTATATAGATGAATCCAGGAATTTTCAAACAATGCGTCAATATTTAGCTTAACCTGGTTAAGCCGATACAGGATAGATGAAGGTCCACTTGGCTGTCTGCATTCTTTTATTGTTTTATCACAGTGGCACAAATTGAAATCCCAACAGCACAGGTTGTGGTATTTAGGGTCATTGGTTTTGAGATTTAGGAAATTTGAAAATGGGGAAAGGTTATTAGTGTATAATGAGTGGGTCAGTGTGGCTTTTATATCTAGTGCTAAAGAGTTTCACCTTTGTAAATCTTAAACATGATATTTCTTTCATACCATGCTATAAATCTAATCAATGTTTTAGCTGCCAGGAGAAAAAGGAAAAAGTGATAAAATTATATCAAAAAATTCTTAAATGAACATTTACATGTTGAGTTCATTCAAATGTAATTCCTCGAAATGAACTTCTCAGCTGTTTGTAATTCATTATGTAAACATACTGTATTGATAAGCTCAGTTGTTATTTGGAGTTAAATCCATGTTCTTGTTTGCCTTGAGGGGGTTGGGGGGCAAGACTTTCAGTACAAACTTCAGTTTTAACCATGGTACTTGTGACATGTTTTGTAGAAAAAACTTAATCATTCCAATCTAAATATAAAAAAGATGTTCAAAATAGTTGACTGAGAATTTCAGTTCAAAATTTCAGTCTTTTGTATTTGAAGCTCTGAAAATTTATTTCATGAGAAGTCTTAAGATTCAGTTCATGTTTATTTAATTGTTAGATTTCCATTCAAATGAAATCTTAAGAACAGTTTAACAGATTGTGATCTTTATCAAAGCATGTCAATAGTCATTCAACAATATTTTTAAAAGACCACGAACTTTCTGCTTTTAAAAACTGAGACAGAATATGAAATTAACTATTTATCACAGATATTTGTATTTCAACTTGAAACCTAAGTTATAAGATATTTTGCATTTGCTTTTTAAAGCATTGATTTTGGATAAAATATATTAAATAGTATAAAACCTTTTAAGATGTACTGAAGTATCTCAGATTTAATCCAAAAGGGACCCAAGTCATAAAAAAACCTATCATAATGCAGACTCTAATCCATTGTTATATTAATTCCAGTGGTTGAAAATTGTGTCAGCCAGTCATATTGTGTAATCATATGAAATGATCATATTCTATGATAAAGAATTCTTCATCAAATGACAATTTGTTAATGGGACACGGACCACTGTATACTTTAGGTGTCAATGATAAATGACTTTTGTTTTCTTCCTTTCAGATTTTGATTTTCTTCTGCAATGATGGAAAAGAAACCAAGTATGGAACCTTTGACAGAAGAGAGGGTTGAACATTTCCTTATGAACCATGAGGATTTTTTGGCAAAGTTTTACCAAAAGCATGGTTCAAAGGAAATGCTAGAAAAAATGACTGGGAAAAAGACTTTAAATGCTCAAAATATCAAAATTGTGAAATCTGATACTTTTTCTACAGATGGTCTTTTGTCCCCTAAAGGGAAAGCAGTGGCAGAAGTTCAAGGAGCATCACCAACAGGTAAACCTGTTGGTGGCTATCAGTCATCACAAAGGAACTCTGTCACCACCAGTATGTTCAAGCAGTATGTAGAAGGACAAATGAAGAAAATGAAGAAAGCGTCTTTGGTTCAAAACCTTGTTAGTTTACGAAAACTGAATGAGCAGGAATTATTCATGGAACTCATTCGAGATATTGCAACAGAACTTGACGTAAATGTGCTGTGTCATAAAATATTACAGAATGTCAGTATACTGACAAAAAGTGATCGTGGAAGTCTGTTTCTGGTACGAGGCAACGACCAAAAAAAATACCTTGTGTCCAAACTGTTTGATGTCACTAGAACGTCAACTCCAGAGGAGTCCATTCACACAGAAGAAAATGAAATAAAAGTGCCATTTGGAAGGGGAATAGCAGGTCACGTTGCTGAGACAAAAGAAACTGTCAATATTAAGGAAGCTTATGATGTGAGATATGTTAAAATAATTTTTTGTTTGTTTGTTTTAATATTCCCAATTTTCATACCACATTTACTTAATTTTTTCAATTTTTTCTAATCTGGAACAGGAAATATACATACCGGTACTTGTGTGTTTCCTAAGTTTTTTTCCTTCTTATTTTTGAAATAATTCAATTGGTATGCCATGAGAATTAGCAAATATTAATTAATATTATGTATGTTATGCAGGACCCAAGATTTAACCAAGATGTTGACAAGAAGACTGGTTACAGGACACATAGTATACTTTGTATGCCAATTCTTAGCTATGATGAAGAAATAGTTGGTGTTGCACAGATCATCAACAAAGTTGATGGTCCACATGAGTTTACTGTACAGGACGAAGAGGTAAGTAATCCAATTAAACTAAAGGAATGGTAAGGTATAAAATCACTTTACCAAGTCTATCATAAACATATTTGTAAGATCAAACTTTATATACTTTATCAGCATGACATGGAGTTTTTGTTTTCCAGAAGAACGGTTAAATTTGACTACTGGGTATCTTTAACAGAGTTATTGTCCCTTGTTTTTTTTTAATCTTTTTCACCATACTCAATAAAAATCAGTGTTTGAAAATGTCCCTTCACAATATGTCTTTAAAATTACATGTATTTTCAGCAATATAAACTTCTGATTGTAGTTATCTTAATATTGTGTGCAAAAATTGTACTCCATGATCTTTAAAATGGCAACATGTACATTGTGATATTCTGTGGATGGAAGTCATTAAACTGTTGATATGAATGAAGTCAATCGACACCATCTAATGTTTTTTCCTGCTATATTTTCAATCTAATGAATTGAAAATTTTGTATAGCTGGTGGCTTTTTCCTTCTAAGCACGAGGAAATTTGAATCTGAAATGAACAATTGATCATAACTTTAAACTTGTTGTTTGCTGTTGGTTATTGTGTCTTAGATAAGGTCAAAAATTTTCTCACCATGTCCAGCTTTTGTGTCTTTGTTGACCTTACCTAGTTATTATTGGTACACTCCATGCTAAACAATGCAGTGTTAAGCTCCCAATACACGCTTTCTTTTCATTACCAAGTTTAGACAAATATTACGATGTATTCAGGTGTAAGCCAGAATGAATTTTTTCTTTTAAAATGTTTTGACAGTTTGTATCCAGCTTCAGTAATAGCAAATCAAACACACCATTTGTTCACAGATCCTTGAATTGCTTTACATAGTGTAGTTTGACAATGTCAATGGAGATCTGGCCTGCCCGAGCTAAAGTTGTGATGGGATTTATACTTGTTGGGGGGAATTACATTGGGAAATCTCATATAACAGGAATGTAATCATCAAACATTATGTCACATACAAAACAAAAAGGTGAGTTGATTATGATGGATAAATTGTAAAGAATTAAGATTTCTGTTTTTTTAAAACATATCTTATGATTCAGGACAGTTTACTTTTACAATTTATGTTTTAAATTAAATGGTTTATTAATTTTGCTAAAATGACATAATCAGCCAACTGCTTTAGGTTTTATAAATCAGCTTCACATCATAATTTAATTAACACTGCATAGTGTTAAATAGATAGGTCTCCAAATTCAATGAATTTTTTTTTTATATTTTTCAAATATTTTTGTTAAAGATAAGGAATCTTGCCTTCACATTTTGTAATAATCCTTCCTTGAAAATTTCACTACCAAGGTAAAAAATGCTTGGGTTGTAATATACATGTAGGGTAACCTGGCTGAAAAGTACTGCTCAAATACTGGTGGGAACATCTCTTGTCTGCCTATAAATGCCGTTTCCTCTGATTGAAACAAAGTTTTTTATACACCACACCCATCAAGTTTGACATTGAATTAGTTCTTTGATGTAATTTATTTTTTGTCAAGTAGATTTGTGTTTCCTTTGAATCTGTAAGAAATTTGATAGACTATATACTGGGTATATCAATACGATCTGAAGTTGTGCTTTTGTCATCATTGTAACACCTAGCCCCAGACCATTTTGTGTGGCTGAGCTTTGTTATTGGAGTTAAACTGTAAAAATGGGAAGAAATCTTAGCACCTATTATTTGAAAAATTCTATGCTGTTATAACTGATCCTTTTGCATGTGGTGTTAATCAGTGTTGATGATATATATCTGTGGAATTATGTGCCCAAGTTTTCATCCTTGGATTTAATATTGATCTCTAATTTAAAAGCAAAAAGTGATGTTTGTATTGTATTTTGAAATGTATCTGTTTATTTCAGTACTTCCGGAGGTACTTGATTTTCTGTGGAATAGGCATTACAAATGCCCAGCTGTTTGAAATGTCAGTTCAGGAGTACAAACGTAACCAGGTAATAAAACATTGCTGCCCTTGTTCACATATTACTTTTTGATGAACAATAAATGGTTTAGGGGATAAGTTTATCATTGTGTCCTATTTATCTGTTAAAGGATGTGATACTGCCTTTTAAATTTAATTTGATGAAGTTGTGATAGATTATGCCACTTGAGTCCCAAAGTCCCAAACAAGATTCTTTCCATCCATAAAACTGATGTTGGATTATATTTCTTTATTACTCTTTGAATTCTCAGAACTTCCAATAGAACTTACAGTGGTATCTAAATGTAACAGTGATCATTATATTGATAGGACAGGATGAAGACATCAATGGAAAAAATGGGAAATAGATGTTCACTGTGGTTTTAAATTTAGCAAATATTCCAATTATCAAATCAACATATTTTTGACTCTAAAAGGCTGATACTTGGTATTCACTCATTTTGATATAAAATCCCTTTTTTTAAGTTTTGTTTAATTAGCCTCTCACTGAGAACCTTCATCATTTGAAAAAGTTAGTTTGGTGTCTCTTTCGTAAGTAATTTGTCACTTCACTTTATTTTTGGGTAATTGGTTTACCTTTGTGAGGCTGTGCGGCACTCATGAGCAGTAGATAATTCTGACCTTCATTTTTACCTTTGACCTACATTAAAGAAAAGGGTTTGTCCAGCTCTATCTCCAACACTACAGTCACTGGAATTTCATACTTTGGAGTACATGTGAACGTTCACCTTGGTGAGGCAGTTGGTGGAAAAATGTAAAAATGCACCAACAAAATCATGCTGTAACATTTCATGTTATCACAGAGACTTTTAAATTTGATAATGTTTAAAGCTCTTGATTACTTACTGTATTTTTAAGCTGCTGCTCAATTTGGCTAGAGGAGTATTTGAAGAACAAACAAGCCTGGAGAAACTCCTACAAAAGATTATCTTACAGTCCCAAGACCTTCTTAAGTGTGAACGTTGTCTGGTATATCTACTGGATGATGTCTTGGACAAGGTACATATCAAATCAAATAAAAAAATCTTAGTATTTTGGTTCAGTTTAAGACAAATCACGCTTTAATGTACAGCATGGGTGCAGCTACATATTTGATATTTGGGCATTGTAATCATGCTTTAGCATGTCTGTTTATAGGTTGTATGCATGCTTTGTGTTGCCTGGAAAAGAAGCTGTTGCAGCATACATGTTGTGTACTTTATTTGTATTTATAGTCACTTTTTAAAATGCAGTGCTCAGACTTTTAAAGTTGGCTTCTGTAGAATTTACGTTGTAAAAAGCAAATTTCAATTCATCTTTGTACTTTGTAGTATATATCTGTTAGACTGCATTATTCATGATTAGAGAGTTTAATTGTCGTGTTAGAGTTGGTATCAACATGATTATAAGGTCATTTAAATTTTATTTCTTTAATATATTGATTTTATTTCATTAAGATTGAAATTCAAACTGCAAATATTCAAATTCAGTCACCTTCACTGATAAAAAAACAAAGAAAGAAAAACAAAAAAAACCAAACAAAAGTAAGAATAGTTTGAATGAAATAAAATAAAATCATGTAACTTATTTCCATGTGGTTAAAGATTATTTTGGCCGACATGGTGATTTTGTCATCGATGTATTGAATAGTAGAAACAGAAACTTAACAGTGTGTTCTTAAAAAATCTCTTGACAGTAAACCATTGCACTGGTGCCTAAAAAGCCATTTGGAGGTGCTGTAATCTGCTTGAAGTTACATCACTCTGCATTGTATTTTAATGAAAGGTCATATTGGCATAATTTTCTATTTTTTCTCTCTTTTGAAAATACTCCGATGTCAATCAAAGAAATATAAACCTATGCCATGTTTCGGCCATCAGAAGATGCAATTTCAGGAAAATACAAATTCTTTAGATTAAAAAACGAAATGATTGAAAATTATATAAATGTGTAAGATTTTTACTAAATGATTAATATATATCTTAACTTTAAACCCATTCAATGCAAGCAAGATTTTGTTTTCTTTTATAATGATTTATCAATTGATTATCAATTGATGCATTCATTTATGCCATCAGTAATCTTGGCACCCAAAAGAGATTACAGGTGTGTAATAACTACAGCAAGGCTGGATAAACTCGAGCCAAATATGATATCTTTGTATAATGATAGTGTGTAGAACAATAGTGTAGTGTGTATATAGAGGATGTCAGTGTGTGTTTTAGTGTAAACATGCTTTGATTATCAATCCAGTGTGTTACACATGGTATGATATATATTGAGTGAAATTTAATTTCATTGTTTTCTTTTCTTTTCAAAACATTGCAATATTTAGAACGTTCTCACAGGCTTGTTTGACAAGGTTATGGAGAAATATGTTAATCACAAACAACTGCAGTGGGCTTTCAATAAGGTAAACGGAGGTAACTTATGTGTCTTAACAAATGTAGTGAAATGCAGTAGGTTGTCATTTTATACAGCCTGTTTTTTTCTGACTTTCTACCATCACTTTCACTACAGAAACTAAAACAGTAAATTAGTAGGCTAGTTTGATAATCATTTGCTTCCTTTATAAATGCGACTATTTTGTGACAGTTTACTTTCTGTTTTGTGACAAGATGTTACCTTTCATAGGTCAGAAAATCCTTCCTATGAATATTGAAAAACAGCAATGGTCATTTTGCTGATCAAATAATAAAATGTCTTATAGGGATAATTGGGTGATGCAGTAGTTAAGTACTGGCCTCTTACCAGGGTGACCAGGGTTCAATTTCTGATTTGACGAGAACGACTGCCAGAACTCTGGCCAGAACAGTGATATTCTGTTTACCTCGGGCCACAGTATGCTTCCATCTGAGCAATCAAGACTGATTACTGTTAGTTATGTGATTTTTATAAAACAATTTAAGTTACTGACATTTCTTTCTGCTAAATATAATTCATTGGCCATAAAATGTTATGAGTATGATATATTTCATAAAACTCTGTTACTGTTCTTATCTGTTTAAACTAAAATGAGGTGCAACTGCTTTAATTGTTGGTCAGGGATTAGTACATGGAAAGTTGATTTTGTTTTTTTGCATTCATGTGCATGCACTTGATTTTTAAGATCATATTAAATGGGGTACATGCACACATGACAATTGTCCTGAAAAGTCCTGAAAGTAAACCTGCCTTGAAATGAGGCATTCTGCAGATTTTGTAAGCTAGAGATTTCTTGCAAAAACAAATGCAACTAAAAGTGCAGATACACTTTACATATCATTGGAAGCTGCCATAAAGGATGGTGATTTTGTTTCAGATTAAAATTTGAAGTTTATATATATTGGTATTAAGATCTCATGTCAGCAAAACCCATTTTTAAGGATTTGCACTATCATATCAAAAATGAGACAAGGTAGCCTGTGAAAAGCACTGAATGAGACTTTGTGTAAGTGAATTAATCAAATGGAGTTGCTATCCACTTTAATGTGACGTATGAGTGAAAAAATATATAGAGATTGCAGAGATAGCAATACTGGTACGATAACCAGCTATAATGCCAGGGGCCAGATTGCGGTCCTTAAACAAAGAGAGTAGGAAGTCCGCAGTCAACTGCACAGAGGCTTAGAACGTATCAACCTTCCTGCCGACACACCAATCACAGAAGATCTTCCATTGCGACTGGTAGACGGCAGAAGCCCTGATTGATGGCGTGATGCAATCTGACACATCTTGAGAAAAGCCTCAATTAGCAAGACTTACTGAGATAGCCTCCATATGTGAAGGTGGAGGTCAAGAGTGTGTTGTCCTGGACCGAGGCTGGCGAAGAAGATTCACCTCGGCCACAGAGGGGCTATCAGAAATAAGGAGCAGTGATGCTCCCGGAACTTGTGTAGCACCCTGCCCACCAGGAAGGGAGGGAATGTATATGCATACATCCCATCCCGGTCCAGAAATAGGAAGAGACAAACATTGGCAGCTGATTGTTCAGGGAAGTGGCAAATAGATCTATAAGAGGTCTGTCCTACACCTTACAAATTCCCTAGAAAATCAAGGGACACAGCTGCCATTCCGTCAACACCAGCTGGCTGTGCCTGGAAAGAGTGTCTGCCAGCATGTTCAGCCTGTCAGGAAGATGCTTGACCATGATGGTCAACTGCATCTCATGGCAGAGAAGAAGAATGCGAACGACAAGAGCACACAGGATGTGAGAATTGGTGCCCCCTTGTCTCTCCAGATACGTGACAACTATAGTTGTCGCTAGCCACACAAATCACTTTGGACTGCAGAATCTTTCGAAAAAACTGCAGAGCGAAGAAAACAGACCTGATCTCAAGCACATTGATGTGCTCCAAGAACTGTTCCCCTTACAACTCCCCCGAGCGGCACTGGCTGTCGAGGTAAGCTCCCCATCCTGCCATGGATGTGTCCATGAACAGGGTCATAGAGGGAACTGGCATGGTCAAAGGCACCCTGCGGAGAATATTCTCCTGAATGGTCCACCAACGAGCGAACTCTCTGACCGACTGGGTAAGAGGAATCCAGGCCTCCCAATTCCTGGACGAAGGAACCCAGTTGGACAGGGGGAACATCTGGAGAGGTCTGATGTGAAGCCTCTTGAGGGAGACTACATCTGCCATGGAGTTGAGATACCCCAGGAAACTGAGGAATTAACGCACCTGGACATGCGACCAAGAGATGAAGGTCAGAGCCAGAGCCCTGGCCTTCTCGAACTTCTCAAATCGTGGAAGGGCTAAGCCCCAAATCGTTCCGAAGTCCTGAGATGGGGAAACCTCTGACTTCTCTCTGGAAGGAATGAAGCCAACTTGTATAAGACTTTTAGGACCAGACAGGTGTTCTTCACTAACGATTCCTTCACCAGGTCAAGCATGGAAGAATCGTTGAAATAGATGATGACATCTATTCTGCGAGAGGGAAGAAATCCCACAACCAAGTGCAGCAGCTTGGTGAAAACACAAGATGCTGTCCTGAGGCCAAAGGACATGGCCCGGAATTGGAACACTTTGCCATTTCATGTAAAACAGAAGAAAGAAAATTAGCAGAGCGGTGAGGGGCGGATCCCAAAGAAGGCCGCTACCTAGACCATCCCTGACTACAGCCCAAGTGTCTCCTGTGATCTCCTCCCACTGCGGAAGAAACGCTATGAAACACCTTCCCACAGGGAGCTCTGGATGGGGCAGAACGAGACCCTGCCAGACCAGAGAATCGTCTGCCCACCTGGAGCCTAATCCTGCGAGACAGGGACAAGAGCTTGATACAAGAGGACCGTCATCCACCTGACCCGACTCTTGGTTTTCCATTGCCAAGGAGGTAAATGAGACAGGAACTCTTCTTCTTGCCCCCAGGAGGCTTGGACTTGGGTGGCCCGGGGATGAATGCCTGCAGGCACTCGTATACTCAGAGCCCAGGGGAAACAGAGACCGGAAACTGGACACCTGGCCTGCCAACCCAGCCCTTTGGGGGAAGCCCCCTGGGTACCCCTGCACAGGAAACTCTGGACTGGACCAGAAAGGCTTAGAACCTGGAACCTGAGACCCTGGACTATGCCGAGTCAGGGTAGGACTGTTCCCCAGTCCCCTTCTCCAGGACTTAACCTGGACAGGCGGGACCAACCCTTGCTTGAAGGAAGAGTGTGACAAGAAGAGAACTCCTCCAGCAGAAATGGCTAAGTTGCCGACCATTCAGAACTGGAGGCAAAGGACCTAGCAGGCTTCCTTTTCCTGCTGGAAGAAGCTCGCTTAACAGGCTGGGAGACCTTGACGTAAGCCTCCACATGAGTTGACATGGCGAAGTCTCACTACAGGGCTAGCACACAGTATAGGCATCATGAAGGTCCCGTTTCCCGAAGAAATGCGAACACCCATATGCTGTACTCTGACATAAACCAGCGCTGGCCATACTCATAAACAAGTGATAAGGCAATAAAGTTTGGAAAAACCAACAAAACAAAACCACGCAAAACGAAAGAAGAAACCTACATACCACGGCAAGCAACAACCAACAATGCAGAAAACAAAATATTAACCTCATGTAACCGAAAAGGCGGAACACATGGTCACGAATTCAAACACATGGAGGAAAAAATGGCCGAAATATTGGCACTAATAAACATAAAAATGTCACAAGAGACCATATAATTTGGATGTTGGCTTTATGAAGATGAAATTGAGTGATATAAAATACTCAGGCATCAATACAAAAGTAGTTTTTTTTTTTTTCATAGGGGCAGAGGTTAAGGGCTTTGGTGTTTGGGGGCTTAAAGCTGGGATTTGAAAGACTTCCAAACACAGCTCATTTACATTTCTATGATAGTAACTACAAGCTGACACCAACATATTTAAAATTGAGATTATATTGGTTATTCTGTGATCAGTTTAGTAAGAGTTAAATTGACTTCTAAAAATTCCTTACATGAACAGAAACACAACAGTATCTGAGAAATATTTTCTAAGTCACAGGAATTAGTAGCCCTCAAAAGAGTATAGGAGTCTTTAATATGTTAAACGTGTATTAAAAGTCATTGATAAAATATGCAATTATCATATATGGTTTAAGATTTAACCAATTAGCGTAAAACATGATTGTATTCTTTGTATGCGAGCTTTTTATCTTTATCTATTGCATCTGACATATTTATGATACTTATTAAATCTGCATATTAGATTAAAAAAAAAAATTTTTATCTTTAGATTTGCCAAGTCTTTCTCCTGTAGTTAAGAGAGTTGCATGACAGATTTCTTAAAAAAAAAAAAAAAAAACTGAGAATGCTGGCTTATATCACTCTAACACTCTAACAATATACTGATTTAGTGAGAATGCTGGCTATATCACTCTAACAATATACTTATTTAGTGATGGGTTATTGATAAAATTCACTAATTGGTAATATAAGAGAGGATGTTGTGCATGCCACAATTTTAGTGTGAAAGGGTAATTAAATCTGATTTTTAAAATTTGTCACCTGACTGATTTCTCAAGATCAATTTGAGAGATCTATATAAACTGTATATGAGCAAGTAGCATATTGATCTAGTTTTGCATGCAACATTTTGAGTTTGATTGGATATTCAAGAAAGCCATTGGCATTTGCTATTTCTGCAGAAAACTTTGTGTTCAATATGTCTCCAGTTGTGTATGCAACAATTGTTTAGAATTTCATCATGACTATCTACATGTGCAAGAACCATTTTCAATGTTGACATTTGAAGCTTGTTTACCTCTCTTTTTTTCAAAATAACTGATACTTATGCTGTCAATGAGAAAATATGAAGTCCCACAGAATCCTTGTTATGCATGGCACATTTGGAGTTTGATAAGATATTCTTAATTTTGACACAATTTATTCAATATTGTTCACACAACAGATAACTAAGAATATATGAGTTTGAAGACCATCTTGTGCCAGGATGTCTTTAGGATTTTTAAGATTTTTTTGGTCTCACTAATTTTTGGTGTGGAGGTATATTAGTGTAATCAATAAAAAGTTTCCTTTTTCAGTAATTACAAAATGATACACCCCATTCAATCAGAAGAGGACCTTACATCAGAGATTTTATAGCTATTGGCTACAAAATGAAGTGATTTAAGGCCAAAGTATCATTGTAGCAGCAGATAATTGCTAGATGCATTATATACATTGCCACCTTCGCTAAACCAGCAAAAGCAATATCAACAATTCCTGCTGGCATCAGCAATTAATTGTGTCCTAGTTGTCATCATGATCTCAGACTGGCACCCAACTGGATGTCCTATTGAATGGTCTGAGATAGGTGGATGGGTATCCCACTTATCAAAGAGGGACTGAAGAATAAAAACAACATCCAAGTAATTATTTGATGTACTTTCAAAACATGTCATACACCATATAAATGATGATAAAAACCCATCAAACATCTAATAGAGATACACAACAGCACTTCTCCAGATCATTTTTTACAATGTGTGTGGTTCTCTTGTTCCATATTAATACTAACAAAGGGTGTTTTTCTTATTTTTGAGTGAATAGTTGGCAGCTTACTAACAATCTACTAATAATTGCCTAATAATATGAACAATAATGAAGAAAACTTTAACTGCCTTCAATTTAGTGAATATTTTTATTTCTTTTTTCCCCATTTGCTTCAGATCATCTGTTTTCCATTACTGGCAATAGTCCATAAGCCTGTATCAGCCTGGCTTTGTTACTTATCTGTGGGCATGACTTTCTTTAAGCTAGGTAGACACATATCAAGATTTCTCATCAGTCTTACACGTTTCATTTGTTACCTTTAATTTACTGCTTGCTAGTCAAAATTGCATTAATTATTTACATTGGTTTCATTAATTTCTGAAACATTATCGATACTATATATCTCTTTTTCATTTAGGTGAAAAAAGGAAAAAATAGTAAAATAATTAAACAAAGTGTTTTAATAATGAATTGTTTTTAAGGTAAACATTTATTTTGTAATATCAGTAATGATAAAAACACAGGTGTTTTGTTGTGAAGCATGTCGGTAGACATTTTCATGTTTGTGATTTGAAATTCTCTGCTTCATCAACACATTGGTTTGAACAGTGGACCAGCACAAACATTTTTTATCTACACAACAGTGCAGCTTTAATATGTTTGATCTGGCACCCTTTTTCTATGAGATGCAGCAGGGCATGTTGTGTACTGTTGTATTTGTTGTCATCAATGTTGTACATTTTTCTCTCAGGATGCAGATAGGCCGCAAGAAGATTATAAAAGGCCAACCAGTACGAAGGTAATTCTGAAAGTCTCATTTAGCTGTAGCCCATGGCATGTAGTTTTCATAGGAATGCCATCATGTCTTTGAACAATTTTAAAGGTTCAGTATATAGAAGAACCTTTTTGAGAGGGTCGGGATCCATTCTCTCTGCATTTTAAAATTATATTCAAGGTAGGTCACATTTCTTAAAGCATGCACACTTGGTTTGTTTTTACTTGTAAGAACTGTTTCTTTAGAACTAAAATTGAAATTTACCTTTTAAATGTGTGTATCTGAATTCTTGAACATATTCGTTAATTTGGGGCATAGGTTTATCTAATTGTAGGCCAAACAATTTATAGACATATACTCTGTATCAGGTGCATTTCCACAAAGATCCAGTTTTATTCTGCCTTCAGCTTTAAACTAGAATATATATACACTGTTTTGTATCCTACTTTTTACATATTTTGGGTCTTCAGGAGGAAAGTAATATTCAAACTGCAGGTGAACTTTTGATTTTTTTCCTAGAGTGTAAACTTTCAGTTGACATGTAAATATTAAGTTAATATCTTTAGTTAATATATTCACAAATTCAGCAATTACTATTTAATGTCTTCTTCTTTTTAACCATTACAAGTATAGCAGTTTCAAAAAATAGGCAAGATTTCAAATTGTTTTTTCTTGTAGAATGCAGATCAAATTTTACAGAATTTCATAAATTGTCTAATTACTTGCCAAAACGTATTTTTCGCACATACTGCTCCAAGGTCAAGGTTACAAGTACAAGTCAAGGACCCATCTTAATATCCTTTGTCTAAAGTCCAAACATTTTCTGAACGTGTTGTAAAATTCCAATCATATCGAGATATATAATGATTTAAGCTTCAAGTTAAAGAAGCTGACAAAAACTTTAATTGTCACCGATATGGTGGCTATAAAAATGGTACTGAACATACATTCACCAGTTTTTTGCCAATGACAAGCTTTTCATTGAAGCTGAGAGGTATTACAGGCTGTTTTCAATAATGTTTATAGTACTCTAGTAACTTATGTATTAAGTTTTGTATCATCTGCAATGTATCAATTAAGACGTTGAATACCCAGTTTCATCTGGACAGCTTTAATTTGAGTCGGCTAACTAAGTGTGACTCAATACAGCAATTGATTTGATTCTCAGATGTAAAGAATTAAATATGAAGTTAATCAGACTTTTTAAATTCACATTGTATCAACTACATAACCTAGAAAGGTCAGAGGTCAAGGTCATTATACATGGGCTAAAGAAATGATATAACCAAAAGGATGTCTTTTTATGATAAAAATAATCATATCATATGCATCACTCTATCAGTGGATGCATGTGACATGTTTGTTCAATAGAATATTTTCAAATGAGATAATTTATTCTTAGGCATTTCATTATAGAATTGATTGGTGTGGTATTAGCACAATCTTAACACAGTTGATTACTTCACTGTATCCAGTAACTTATATCAAAATGGAGCATGTGATCAAAGCATGATATACCTGACAAATTTTAGTAAATTGTTGGTACATTTTCATATTGGTCAGTCATCAATTTCCTTGAGAGAAAATAAGTCTGTATTACTGTAATGTAATGCATGACCTACAAATTTGTTTTCCGAAAGCATGTGTAATAAATCATTAATAAGAGAAATAGTGAAAATAATCTTTACCCAGCTGAATGCCCTACCACAAGGCTAAAGGAAAATTCCCTCTTGCTAACTTTTGCTGTGTTCAGGCATAGGGTAATTATTATTTTAATCATAACTGATTGAAATCATTTACAATTTTTGGAAGAATCTCTTCAATTACTATATTTTCCTGTATATAAGCCACAGAGCCAATCTTTATCATTTTTTGATTTGATCTATATATTATCCACACTGGGCTGTAAGCCGCACACTTACTTAGGATGTGGTAACCATTATGTTGACCAAAGTTTGTTGATATAACAAAAACAGAAGATAATTTATCAAGATTGTCAGTCAAATATTTGATAAAGTTTGCAAATGAATGATGCACTAATATTTCTTTATTTTATTGATGTCTTTTAAAAATTATTCTGATCATCCAAAATACATCAAATAGCAAATGTGGAACTTGTTTGGCGTGGGGTCATCAAAGATTGTCTTCGCACAGATATAAGTCCTGACGATACGTACGGTTTACTAAACAGTCTTTCCATCCGTGTCTGTACTGTTAAAATTTAACAAAACCCGTTGCATGCTGACAAAATTCTTAAATGGTCCCATATTATTTCTTGACCTTGCGATCCCAGTGTACAATAGGCTATTGGAAATTTCCGTAAACTTCCGCCATACCCTTTTGTGATTGCTGTAAAGTAACTGTGAAAGTTAAGAAGATATTATTGCGATTCATATTAGAAGATATGAATTAAATACACTTGAATGTTACTATTATTGCAATCTTCAAATCATTCTGTATACGATTACAAGTGACAGTTCTACACAATCTGGTTTACTTCATTCTGGCGATTTTTTCTTCGTTCTCATACAAGCCGCACTGATGTATGAGCCGCACACTCGACTCAAAAGGTTGAGGCTTATAATCCGGAAGATACAGTACTTGTAATTGTGATAGACAGCAGTGAAAATTTACTGTGTGTTTATAATTACGTTTTGATTACATTTTAATTGCATATTTTAGTTTCTTGTACGACGATGATTTGATGTGTTTATGAGTCACTGAATAGAAGATTCAGAAGTCAATGCTACTTTCTCCTTCACAAAGTTTGTGCCAAAGACAACCCAGGCTCTTCAGCTCTCTCAAGGAGGTCCTTTAACTGAGCACTTGCAGTGGGCAATGGCCAAGAATCTTGGAGTGTTAATAGGCAAACTGTCAGTATTTATAGATCTGTAAAAAGGAGTATTTATGATAAACGTCTTCCCCAGCTATAAGAGTTAGCTCCCTCTGCCCACCTGTAGTACTAAATAAACTCCTTTCTCTTTGGTTGTCTGGCTTTTAATGATCTGTAATGTTTCATCACATTCTATTCAATATACTGTAACATTAACAGAATTAAACTATTTATTTATTAGTGATCTCAGTATTAGCCAATTACTGTGTCACATAGGATGATTCTTAATGAAAAGAATAGCTAATTAATAAAACTGTTCTAGACAGAAGTTGTCAAGGGTAGAGTTTGACAAAACCAAATATAAACCTTGCTTAAGTGTTTCAAACATCTTCTATTTATAGTTAACAGGTTCTATTGATTTTGAAGGATTACTTTAAATCATCAGAATGTATGAATTGCACTGCATGCAAAATATACAAAGAAACTTTGCATGAAAAATGTTTTTATCTTGCCTATTTATGTATCACATTTGCACTTTTCTTTAATACAAATTGTATTATGATTTTTTTTTGTATAATTTCGTGCAAACAATACTTGTATATTAATTTCCTGTATTTTTATATGAAAAGACTTGTTTATTCATGATATCAATATTTAACATACTTGATTTTAATGAAAATGTTTTGTTGTTTCTTGTGCCCTGGCCATTTAATGGGAGGATAAGGGAAGGGGGAGGACATATTTGATATTTATGTACTTTTGTTGCATACTGCTCTGGAACAAGTTCATATTGCTTTGACTTGGGATTTTGATAAAAAGATTTCAAATTCAAGATTTACTGTTTATCAGAAATCACCAACCAATTCAGTGATTTCCCTCCTATGATTGTTTTTTGATATGCCCTGCCTCAAAATTTTGATGTATTATGGTATGACGTTCGTCTGTCCATTCATCATGAAAGCTTGTTTGTCTAGAGAACTCCTCCCAAAGTTTTCTACCAATCTGTTTCAAACTTCAATGGCTTAATCATAATGGCATGAAGTTATGTTCTTTCAAATGGCAATTTTATTTTATTGTATTTTGAAGATTTACTGCCTAATGCTTGCATAATGTTAATGTTTTCCAGACATCTCCTTCCTCAGTTTTCAACCAATTTCTTTCAGACTTGGTAGGCTAAATCACCAAGACTTGATATTGTGCTTATTTGAATGGCACTTTTTGAATTAAACTGTATTTGGAAGAGTTTCTACCCTATGTTGTTTATATGCCTCCACCATAAAATTGGGGTGCATATAGCATTGCCAATGATCGTCTCATCCCATCCTGTCCCAAATCATCCCAATTGGATGTACATGTAAGCACTTTGCAACTTCTTTTGTTATTTGACAGAATTTGCTCAAACTTTATGCAAAGGTCAATTATGGCAAAACTATTATTATTTATATTCAAAATACAAGAACAAATAGCAATGTTCTCCCTCTTCACATTTTGACTCTTTATTACCATTTCCATATTTGTGTTCTTTTTAATACAAGATATATATTCTGAATATCGATGGCAAGGGACCAATGTACATTATTTCGCTTCATGGTACTCCTGTTTGGTCATAGATGTATGTGAGTAAATTATAGGTACATATTAAGCAACAATAGAAAGAGGGAGTTGATGGGCTAATTTGGATCAGAAAGTTTTCCTTGGTTCTTTTTTTCCACTAATGTACAGTTTTAATTAAGATTTTCAAAAAGTTAAAATAACAATACACCAGTTTAATTGTTTAACATTTTATTACAATGTATAAGTGTTTAACATTTTATCACAATGCATAATTTGAAATTTCTGTTTACAGGAAGTTGTTTTCTGCAAAGCATTTGATCTCTGTGCAGAGGATGGTGGGACAATCCACGTACCAAGGTAATTTCGATTTGAGCAACATCAAATACCCTTCCTACACTGAAAGTCATAACTGTGAAACAAACTTAAGGTTTTTTCATGTAAAACCAATTTTCATGTGGTAGTGCTTACCATAACTTTAGTATACAAGTATAGTACCTACACCCATCTTTGTATCCCAAAAACAAAAGATTAAAAAATCTCGCCCTCCCTACGATCAATGAGCCAACACAGTAGAAACATGGTGTGATCTCCCTTCCTCTAACAATCTTTATTGAGCACCACTGAAGGGCAGTCAGGTAGAAAGTAAGAGGGAAGGATAGGGTGAAACTCCATAAAGTTATGGTAAGTATTACTTCCTGAAAATGAAAAAACCTCAATTTCATTTCAGTAATAATTACCATAACTTTAGTATGCAAATTCGTCTCACCATAGTGGTGACTAGATGCCAGGCAGCCTTCCTTCCAGCCACTGACTGTGCCACCACCAGAAGACCCAACGAATACAGGCTTTCAGAGTGGGAAGCTAGGGATCGCAGATAAAAATCTGTGAAGGTATCCCTGCCTCGTCAGAAAGCTGCAGACATGACCTCCTGAAAAGAGGACCCATTGAGAAGGGCCCAGAACGTAGCGAGGGCCCTGACTTCATGAGTCCGCACTTTCACCCTCGCCTGAGCCTGATCATCAGAATTCTCGTAAGCATACTTAATGACCTGGCAACTCCACCTGGAAACCAGCTGGGAGGAGATCTCACATTATCCCTGTTTGATGGGCAGAAACGGGATCGAGAGCCCTGCCCACCTGGTTTTATCGAGATAAAACCTAAGAACTAGACAAAGACAAAGCAACCTATCTCACTCCTCCGTGTTAGTCCTAAGCTGGGATCATGATTGGATCGGGTGAGAACCCTGGGACCTGATTCTTTGTTGAAAGGAACGATCAGTTAGGAGAGTTATGGCAGCGTAGCCTCTGGACCATCGTAGGCAAGAAGGAAACGATGACAAGGCATGGACTTCACTCCAGACAGACACCAAAAGCTCATAAGGAGCCCTAGTCAGGGAATCTAGCACCAAGGCCAGATTCCACTGTGGGGCCAGCTGCCGAACTCTGGGTCTATCCAGAGTGGAACCACTGATTAGGGCAGAAAGAGAGGAGGACAAACCTATCTCTTTCCTGCCGTAAAAAGCAAGAACACTGGCAATAGCTGTACGATAGCCAGCAATATTTTCAGATTGCGGTCCCTAAACAAAGAGAGTAGGAAGTCCTCCCACTTCCTGGATAACAGAACCCAGTTGGACAGAAGGAACATCTGGAGAGGTCTGATGTGAAGCCTCCCTAGGGGGACCACATCTGCCAGGGAGTTGAGATACCTCAATAAACTGAAGAACCAACACACCTGGACATGCAACCAAGCGAAGAGCCAGAGCCCTGGCATTCTCGAACTTCTCCAAAGGTTGAAGGGCTAAGCCCCCAACAGTTCCCCAGGAAACCTCTGACTTCTCTCTGGAAGGAATGAAGCCGACTGAGCAAGACTTTCAGGACCAGACGGGTGTCCTTCACTAGCAAGTGAAGCATGAGGGAGTTATTGAAATAAATGTGGATGTGGAGGAATCCCATGACCACATGCAGGAGCTGTCATAAGCCCGAAGGGCTTGGCACAGAATTGGAAAAACTTGCCATTGCACATGAAATGGAGGAACTTCTATGCCGACTTCTTGATGGGGATGTGGAAGTAGGCATCTTTCAGATCTACTGAAATTGCCCACATTCCATACCTCACTGTGGGGTCTCCATCTTGAAGTGAGGAGAATCTATGTGCCTGTTGAAGGCTCCGAAGTGGGGCAGAACAAACCCTGCCAGACCAGCGAATCATCTGCCCACCCGGAGCCTAATCCTGCAGGACAGGGTCAAGAGCTTGAGATGGCAGGACCACTGTCCAAACGACCTGGCCCTTGGTCTGCCGCAGCCAAGGAGCTGAAGGACGTAACCCAGCACTAGCCATACTTGAAACAATGATGAAATTGTAAGCAAGAAAAACAGGCAAGAAAGTTTTAGACAAAAATTAAAAAACAAACCACCAACGAAAGCAAAAACTAACATAAAGTTGCAAGAAAATGGCTGCACAAAAGCAGCTGACAAAGCAGCAAAATAATAACAAACTTCACGTAATATCTGAAACAGTGAAACACGTGGTCAGGCACTCGAACATGAGGAGAAAAACATGGCCTAAAAATAGGCAGAAATAAACATAAAAACAAGTTGTATAACGACAATATAAATTGGTAGATGGGTAAAAACTTCATAATGAATAATACTCAGATAATGAATGAATGTACTACAAGAAGGAACTGAAAGCTTCAAACCATCTGGACTTGTCGGCAATCATAAAGGAAAGAGAGAGGGAGATCACTCTATGTTTCTGCTGTGATGGCTCATGGATAGTAGGGAGGGTGGGATTTTTTAATCTTTTGTTATTGGGATACAAAGATGGGTGTAGGTACCATATTTGCATACTAAAGTTATGGTAAATATTTCTGAAATGAAATTCTTTATTTATCAGTCGTCTTACTTTAGCGCTTTTTACCCTGAAAGTAATGAGCTGAAGTAAGACTGCGTTATCTACAGTCTCTATATACTGTTTATAAAGAAATTATTTTGGATGTGGAAATTGATGTCATTGTTCTGATTTGCCAAACATGATAATGCGCTTATAAAATTTGATTGCACTAAATTAAGTAAGTTTACAATATCTCTGTTCCTACTGTGTAATCAACAACTATTTTCTTGAGACAAACATATTCAAGATTTCATTGTGACAATTCTGTTTCTTATATAGGATGATTAACGTATGTAATATGGCTGCTCTTTTCGAATGGACTAGTCAGATTTTGAAATCACAAATGATTAAATCTATAATTTATTTTTAAAATCAAGGTAAATATCATTAGTCTTCCACCAAAATTAACAAATTGGTGGAAGTCTGATTATTGCAGACAGGGTTTTTCCCCTCTGTTTAATGATAAAAAGCTGGTTGCTCTCTTAGCTCATTGGAGAGTTGTTTTCATAAGAAAATAAAAAAAAAAATAGTACTACAGACTGGTGTAAATTACAGGTAGAAAAAAACACCAGCTAAGACACTAACAAGCATGATTTGGAAGTGAATTAACAACCTAGTGCTTTAATTCTTTCCTGTTACGTATAGAGAAAGCTGAAGTGCAGGGTTATGATTCATGAAAATGGTAATGGACATGAATGAATGCTTATATACACAACAACATGCAAACAATAGAATTAAGATTCTAGATTTCTTATTGAAGTTTGCAGAAAGTAGGGTTGCTTTTGACCATATGTAACCTGTTTTGAATCTGAGGTGTAGCAGCAAACTGATGTGGTTTTGCTGTGTTGGTCAGAGAAAAGTTGCCGAGCAACAGGCTTGGGCAAGATTGACCAGCTACTGTGTAGTCAGGTGGTGAGGTCTTGGTTGGTGTATAAAAACTGTGGCAAAGACTGACTGGCAGCTGTATGGCCAGGTTGTGTGAATCTTGGCGGTTGTACAAGGTGCGAAACAGAGGAAGACCTGTTTGGAGGGGGGTTAAAACAAATGTATCACCCCGTTCCATCCAAGGTCTCTGCCTGCCTCATCCCGTATTGGAAGAGTAGGTCTCAAACAACACAGGTGCGAGCCCTCACCTCCATGAGTTTTGTCCACTTGGTCCTAAAGTTGGATTCATGAATTGAATGCCCTCAAAAGATTTTATATACATTTGTTTTAATTTTTCTTTTGTGCAGTGTTGCCAGTTTAGCTAAATCTAGAAATGCTGAGATTGCACGCCATGTTGTTGTGAAGGGAATGCCACTCAACATTGATGATATGGATGAGACTACAACCTTTGGGAATGGCCCGGTAAACTTTCAATAAAAGGCCTATCACTGAATGTATTGAATTGTCAATGATTAATTAGGCCCATATTATGAAATATCAATTAAACGATGAATTCTTGTTAGTTATGAAAATTAAATATACATGTATAATTCTTGATGCTAACTTACAAACATTGAACCTTGGATCCTTGAATTGAATTGTTCAGTAAAGACAAAGATATATTCAAGATTTGTTTAGGAAATATTGATGGGAATGTTGCCATATATGATAAACTATTGATTGGGTGTGGACTTACCATTATAATCTAGTTTATGGTCAGCAGATGAATTAATGATGTAACTAAGTTTGTCTGGATGGTGAAACCACAAACAAGTTTCAAAACATGAGAAAAAATCTGAAGAAAAGTGGAATCCATTATGATTTGATTTCATTATATTCAAGCATTCACAGATTGATCTTGTTTTGTTTGACTATAGCACATTGATGAGGATGGATTCAGGAGTAAAAGCATGCTGTGCATGCCAATTTACAACAGTGACAAAAAAATCATTGGAGTGACACAACTGATCAACAAATTGAATGGTCAAGCCTTTGTTGAGAGTGATGCCAATATCATTGAGGTATATAGATATGCAAAAGTCTACCTAGCTCTAGCTGTATCAATATTTCATATAATGTTATCAAAGAATGTTGTGACCATATCAAATATTGAATCAGAATAAGCCACTCAATATGTAAAGGCACTTTTCATTTCAATAATAATTACCATAACTTTAGTATGCAAATATGGTATCTACACCCATCTTTGTCTCGCAGACAAGTGCAGAGGTGTTCAGCTGAGTGCCTTGAGTTCCTCTCTCATATTTCTGTAGTTTCACTATCTGAGTATTATTTATTACCCAGTTTGATTTTGTTTACCCATCTCCCATTTATATTGTCGTTCATGACTTAGTTTTATGTTTATTTGTGCCAATTTTTTTACCGTTTTTCACGTGTTTTGCCATTTTGGTTACTTGAAGTCTTTTATTTTTGTTCTGCTTTGTCGGCTGTTTAAGCGCCTTGAGCAAGGGGTGGTCCCACCTGTCCAGATAGGGATTGGGATTTCCTGCCGCTGGCCAGTGATCCATTCAGTGATCCCAGCACGCCAGGTAGTGTTGTTGGTGAAAGTCACCTTGGTGCCGGGCCTGTACTTTCGAGTGCAGGTGCCGGGGCCACAGAAATACTTTCAGGGTTGCGTCAGTGCGGGGCCTGTTTTCCCACCCTCTCAGGTTCCTGGTTCTGGGTCTTTCCTGTCCAGTCCAGAGTTCCCTGTGCAGGGGTACCCAGAGGATTTCCCCCAAGGGGCTGGGTTTGCAGGCCAGGTGTCCAGTTTCCTATCTCTGTTTCGTCCGGGCTCTGGGTATACGGGTGCCTCTGACCAAGCCTGTCCCCTCTATGATCCTGTTCACAGATGCTTTCATGATAGGATGGGGACACCAGGTCTCACATCATGTGTGCTCTCACCATCTGCATTCTTTTTCTCTTTCACTGCCAGGATATGCAGTTGACCATCACAGTCAAGTATCTTTCTGGCAGGCTGAACCATTTGGCAGGCACTCTCTCCAGGTGCTGTCAGCCATCATTTACGGAATGGCACCTTGATTTTCCAGGGAATTTGTCAGGTTCGGGACAGACCTCTTATAGACCTGTTTGCCACTTCCCTGAACAACCAGCTGCCAACCCTCGTCTCTCTGGTCCCAGATCTAAAGGCTTGGGCTGTGGACACCATATCACTGGACTGGGATGGGATGTATGCATATGCATTCTCTCCCTTCAACCTGGTGGGCAGGGTGCTACAGAAGTTCCAGGAGTATCACTGCTTCTTACTTCTGATAGCCCCTCTGTTGCCGAGGCAACCTTGGTTTCTTGAGCTCTTGTCGTTTCTGGTGGAGGAGACTCTGGCTCTCCCCACCAGACCGTATCTCCTTTGCCAGCCTCAATCCAGGACGACACACTCTCGACCAGAGATCCTCCACCTTCACGCGTGGAGGCTACCAGTCACAATGGAAGATCTTCTGTGATTAGTGTATCAGCAGGGATGTTGATATGTTGGAAGCCTCTGTGCAGTTGATTGTGGACTTCCTACTCTCATTATTTAGGGACCGCAATCTGGCCCCTGTTGGTTATCATACTCCCATTGCCAGTGTCCTTGCTTTTAACGACAGGAAAGAAATAGGCTTGTCCTCCTCTCTTTCTGCCCTAATCAGAGGCTTCGCTCTGGATAGACCCAAAGTTCGGCAGCTACCTCACAGTGGAATCAGGCCTTGGTGCTAGATTCCTTGACTTGGGCTCCTTATGAGCTTTTGGAGTCTGTCTGGAGTGAAGTCCCATCTTGTCGCTTCCTTCTTGCCTATGATGGTCCAGAGGCTCCTAACTGATCCTTCCTTCTTAGCAAAGAATCAGTTCCCAGTGTTCTCGCCCGATCCCATTTGGATCCCAGCTTGGACTAGCCCAGAGGAGTGAGATAGACTGCTTTGTCTTTGTCGAGCTCTTAGATTTTTGAATATTTTGTTTTTTGTGATACAAAGATGGGTGTAGGTACCATTTTTGCATACTAAAGTTATGGTAAGTATCACCTCATGAAAATTGGTTTTACATGAATAAGCCACAAGTCAAAGAGTTTATGTTAGTGATCAATAATATAAGTTGAGAAATTAGCAGTTTTTCAGCCCTTAAGTCAAAAAAAGAACTTTATAGTGTTTAAGTGTTTTCTCAAACTAGACACTTCCTGAATAAAACAGTACAAATCATGAACTCATGTATTGGTATTTGTTGACGTCAAATTTTATGTAAGTCAGTCTTATCATTGCTCAAAAGGGCTTATGGCTGATGAACTCTGTATTTGAACTGGATTAATTATCTCTAAATTTTGGATTACAAACCACTTTTCTCTGCTCAGATGGGCTTTAATGGGATTTAAGTTGTTGTGTATATTTTAAGCTTATCCGAAAGCTTCCTTACCTTAAAGTATGTTTTTATTTACACACAAATGCTTGAAGGGATATTTTGTAGATCAAGATATTTTTCTGTAGGTTGAAAGTTCACAGGCCATACTGCAGAATGTTCCAGGTAACCAGCTATTCAACGTTTATTTCATATGCACTTTGTTGGTTCGGTAGATTTTTTTAACCACTTTGAATTTCCACACATAAAACTCTCGCTTTGTACCAGCTAGACAACACTATCTTTGCATTAATTTTTCAGGATATGTTTACTTTTTCCGTTACTGAAATTTTCTGAAAATCTTTTTTTTTTTTTTTTTTTTTTTATTTTGTATTCAGGCTTTCTCTATATTTACTGGCTTGGGGATCCACAATTGTCAGATGTATGAGAATGCTTGTAAGCTGATGGCAAAACAGAGTGTAGCTCTTGAAGTCTTGTCTTATCATGCAACAGCTCAGACTTCAGAAATAGAAGAATTGTTGGTAAGTTTCAAATAGTGACCAAAGCTTCAAGGAATTAAATATTTCATATCCCTATCTCATGTTGTACTTTCTTAAATAAGAAAAAAATGAGTTTAAAAAGTATCAGAATTATACATTAGTATCTTTTTATCTGATAGTTACATGTTTATTTTTTTGTGCAGTGTCATGCATACCTTACACATATGTGTTGAAAGGCGAAGATAATCCTTGGTGTTTAGGATGTGATGAGCCTATCACCGTTAAACATTTTTTATTGGACTGCATTGACCTTTTGTCTACTGAAGAATGTTTTTATCGTCAAATTGCAAGTCTAAAAAAAAACTTTTCGAAACTGTTGAGATTTGTAAAATTCTAGGATACCTGAAAGATGTTGGTCTATACAATAGACTAAGACGTACCATTTTAATCTTTTGTGTTGATATACCCATTTAAGATTTTAACATTTGTCTTTTACCTTTTGGTTTGTTTAATGTTATTTCCTTTTGGATCGCTGTGTGTTTTACCGTATGATGGCCCTAATGACCTTTTATGGGTAGACGTTGACAGGCCGTTAAGAATGTCATAATAATAATAACAATAATAATAATAAAAATTTGCAGGGGCAACTGATTTTTTTTTTTTTTTTTTTTCTGTTTTTCTCTTTTTGGGCAATTTGACAGTTTTATAGCTTTATGATTTTGAATCCATTGCTCAATAGAGAATAAATCTGTTTTTTTACAACTTGACTTATATCTGTAATTGTCTAGAAAGCTTGCAACAATACTTCTCTACATGATGTCAGAATTCTAACATATGATACACTTTTAAGCTAATATCAACCAAATATTTGTGTGTAAAAATGTTCAGATATCAAGTGTACCAGATAAAAGTGTTAATGAGCCCACAACCAAATTGTTCCACTTGTTTTTTGTCTTTCAAGGCATGTGATATTCCTGCTGCAGAAAAGATCAATCTGTATTCCTTTGACTTTAATGATATACCCATGCGTGAAGATGATACAGTGAAAGCTGTGGTGTGTATGTTCCAAGAAGCTGACCTTTTCAACAAGTTCCGGATACCTTATGATGTAAGTAAACATTTCCTATCAACATGTGCTTAACATCATCAAACAGTGGAATATTGTGTCAGGGGCCTTTTTTTGATACGTTTTATGGTTACAAGATTAATTACAGGTGGGTTTAATTCCCTCTTATTTGTGGTTGTACACTTCCATAAAACATTCCTTTTATAAATTGAACCGGGGAATACTTTGTTATTGTTTATAGGTTCTCCTTGACATTTTGAAAAGAAAACTTTGTGGATTTAAAGAAAACAAATTGATTCAAAAATAAAATTAATTCTCCTATGAACAAATCTATTAGTTCTGCCTCCACAAACACAAAGCCATGACGATTGATAAAGAATATTCTCTATTTTGTTACATTTTATGCTCTAAACGCTGAATTTACTTACAAATGCTGAGCATCATTGAAATTTCAGATAAAATTCATGACTCTGAAAATTGATGCAGGTTTCGTTTGATTGCTGGTGAAGTTTTCTGAAGTTGATGTTAATTTTGTTTTATAACTTCAGGTACTTTGTCGTTGGGCGACCAGCGTTAAGAAGAATTACAGACCAGTGACTTACCACAACTGGAGACATGCATTCAATGTTGCTCAGACAATGTTTACCATGCTTTATGTAAGTTTGAATGTTTCACCATTATTCTGTGTTGAAATGAAAGGATGACCAGATGTTATCGAATGGATGATGATTCTGATTTATGATAAGATTGGATATGTATGTTTATGTGATATGTATATAGTGTAACATCGTGTTTGTTAAATTCATCTTAAAGCTTTTTGGTATGTCATTTATGGAAGCTCTCAACATACCTTTGTTAACGATGAAGTCACAGAAGTGTCACATATTTGTCTTAAAGACATGTTATCAATAGTCTTTCTGGAAGAACTTTTCTGATAGCTCACAAAAATGTTTCCAGTTGTTGTTTGTGTTGAAAATAAACATCTCACTCAAAATATATCTACTTTTGTAAACCAGTTTTGTAAACTGTTGAGTCTAGTTATAAATATAATGAAGTATTTATCACTTCAGTCATCTTCCCAAACAAATGTTAAGGTACAAAAATGACAGACATGTTCAGTTTGTAATGTTATTTACATGCATGTTAGAATTTATATGTTGACATGATGGTTTTGATACCAACAGACTGGAGGATTAAAGCCCATGTTTAAAGACATAGAAATATTGACATTACTGGTAGGTTGCCTGTGTCACGATTTGGACCACAGAGGAACAAACAATGCTTTCCAAGTCAAGTAAGTTGTTTCAATGTCATAAAAATATTCCTCAATTGAATTTTAAACACATTTTGTTTTAGATCTAAATTCAATTTGTTCACTTGTCAGTTCTTAAAGGAATTTGACCCATGTTATTGCTTTTCTGAAACATTCTTACCCATGGTAGAGAGACTCCTCTGGACTAATCACAAGGTTAATGTGATATTGGTTATGAGGCCCCACTCTGAGGATACACATAGGTACAATCAGAAGGTTACAGATTAAAATCAGGTATTATTATTGTCAATGGACATATGAACAGGAGAATGAATAAAAAGGCAGTGGACTTACTGCAGCAATAAAGACAGACAAGTCTACAGCAAAAGAGACTGACAAGTTCTTGTCACTGTATATAGAATGGCTTTATTACATTCTATCAGTGACTTAGAAATTTTTACTGGATCCTAGTGAACCCTTTCTAATTATCTTGCCCAGAGGACCAACATGACTCTAAAGTCAGATGGTCAGTTTATTACAGGATATTGGGAAACAGCATTTGTTGGTAGTCCTACTGAAGTATATTTACATATACATATATAATACTAGGTATACATAATTTGACTTTCTTATTTCTGGATAAAGGTGTTTTAATTGGTACAATACTGAAAATATTGCTTGTTATTTCTAGGGTTGTCTCCCCTTTGGCCATGCTGTACAGTACGTCAGTGATGGAACATCATCATTTTGATCACTGTATTATGATTCTCAACAGTGAGGTAAGTAGGAGATAAAATCATCCAAAATTTAGTTGAATTTTTTATATATTTTATATATTGCTTACTTTTAAAGATATAAATGCTTGTGTCTTTTCATGTTGAGGCTAAGATGTTTTAGAATGGTGTGTGCAGATTAGAGACTTAAGCAAAACAAAATAGGGTGAAATGAGGCCAAAACTATCATAGAATCATTACCAGTTTGTTCTGTTGTAGGGAAACAACATCTTCCAGTCTTTATCTTCAGAAGAATACAGAACTGTAATCAAGATGTTGGAGCATGCCATTCTCTCCACTGATCTCGCTCTCTACTTCAAGTAATGTCTGACAACTGGTCAAGCTTCATCAATCAATTATCGCTAAGATTTTCTGTATTTTGAAGATTTTTATTGAAAATAAGAAGTGTCTTCAGCTTGGCGTTAGAGGATATGGACAGTCAATCTGATACATTGTTGACTGCAGTATAATTTTGTAACGTACGGCCAATGAAAGTTTTTAAAGTACAAGCTTCAGCAAATCAACCTTTATCAAGAGACTACAAGGTAGTACAGTTTATGCTTTCTTTTAGATGGATATTGATTTATCTGTGCCATCATGATGTTTTGAATACCTTGTAGAAGTGAGTTTTTCCCTGTATGGACCCCCTTATTTTGTAGTTTCTTTGCACCAAATTAATTTTAAAACATTACTATAATATCTGGTACAGTACAGCATTGGCTTTATGAATGGATTTAAGGGTTAAGATATCATCTAGTTAATTATTTGTGATAACTTGTATTCTATTTCCAGGAAAAGGGGAGACTTTAAATCTTTAATAGACAATGGAGAGACAACATTTGACACAGAACAGAATAAGGAGTTACTGAGGTATAACCATTAACAGTTATGTGCAAAAGTATAAAAACAAAGCATGAAATTTACACTGGAAATATTTCAGAATTATTCAGTCTGTTTGATATAGTACAATTTTGATATATGAGTTTATCATATGAGTGCCTTGTTATATATCCCGGGTGATATTTCTGTATATTACACATAAAATGTAGGTGATTGTGACGTCAAACTCACACATTCACAGACTGCATTGTGATGTAACTTTATAGGTTATATATATAGAGCTAGCAAAACTAAAGTTCATTCAGAAATGTCTGTTTTCTACCATATTTGCTTGAAAAATTGATCATGTGATAAAAAGGATAATACATGAATTTCTGTTTGATATGTGAGTAACTTGTCACAAATTTTTATCTTAGCTTGCTTTTGATGATTTTTGGACTCGATTTTGAAGTCCACATATCAAAAGGAAACTCATACAAGATTCTATATAATGATTTAGCACTAGAATTTACTCTTATGTATTCTATTATCTTATATGACTTCTGATTAACAGAGCAATGATGATGACAGCCTGTGATGTGGCTGCTATCACAAAACCATGGGAAATTCAGAAAGAGGTGGCACAGCTTGTGGCCAATGAATTCTTTGAACAGGGAGATATTGAGAAAGACAAATTGGGTGAAAAACCAATTGTAAGTTTCATTTTATATGAATTGTTGTTGAAAATATTGAAATAGAGTTATTTTACAGGTTATTTTTAATTTTTTTACAAAACACAATTTTTAGGCAGTCCAGATGACTTACAGGAAATGTATAAATTAATTGCTATAACTTTTCTTATATTTTTTAAACTTGAAGTTTGATTTGATCATATATAAATTATTGAGAATTGATATTGGAAATATGCCTATAATTTGAATTTCTTTACAGTTTTTGAAATTCTGATTAATTGATTATTAATGATGTGTATATTCTTTAGTTTTGTTCATGATTTGATAGTGTAATGTTTTAATCTCACCAGGCAATGATGGACAGAGAGAAGGTGGACGAGTTGCCTAAAATGCAAGTTGGCTTCATTGATGCCATCTGTATTCCTGTTTACAAAGTATGTACACTGTATTGACTTTATTATTGTTTATTTTTGAAAAGATAATGATTTCTCTATCCAGTGTAATTACCTACTTCATAATTTTGACAACGATGAATGCAGTAATGCCAAAACAGTTTACTGTTCTGACCCTGCTTCAGCATATCTATATAGGCACTTGTTGGAAATTTGTTCAGGTCAGCTGATTAGTGTTGTACAAATGAAAAATGAGACCATCTTATTGACCAAACACTTTTGAAGTTAAAGAAAACTTCCTTTTGATTTTTGTGTTTGTTTTTTTTCTTCTCTCTTAATTTTTAAGATTGTTCAATCTTTGGATATTAAGTAAAGATAGTTATGGTTTAACAAGGGGTAATAAAAAAGACATACACACAAGGTATGGATTTAAAGTTGTACTAAAATTTGCTAGGCTGATCATCATTTGTATATATCAAACTAATATGTCTGTAGATGTATACCACCTTGTCAAATGTTGGAAAAGCTTATTCTAGTTGAATGGTGTAAGGATTCAAAAATTTTAAGTGAAATATCAGTGTAAGGTTGTAGAGAAATGTGTTTGATGATCACTATCATTGCAGCATAAAATGATTTCCAGGCAAGGTCTATAACAAAGTGATCTACATATTTTTTGTGATGAATACATTACGGTATATATTAAACTTTTAACTTTTGATTTTGCCAAATCCAGATTATATACCTATGTATACATGTGTACATAAACAGTGAAAGGTATTTGACCATATAGAACTGTAAACTATGAAATGAAGTGGCATAGATATTGTCTTACAATGATTGTATATGACCAATTCTAGAACTGATATCAATCCTCTGAACTAATCCTGTGTTTGGTATTGTGGTTAAGATGTTTTCAGAATTGTGGGGTGGTTTACGACCCATGTACAATGGATGTGTATACAATCGGAATCAGTGGCAGGATTTGGCTGACAAGCAGAATGCACTAGCCTCACCTTCTAAAGTCACCTCTACAGGTCTCCTTGTCATTATTTTTTTATTATTTTCTGTCAGATTCTCCAAGCTTGATTATCTCTACAGAAGCATGTATGTTGGCTGTTCATTATATGGTGCTTTTTCCACTATCAAGTGATCCTGAATATTGTCTCGAGAATCATCTTTTTCACCAGCTTTGTAATTTGAAAATTTCTTGTCATCTTGTACACATTTGTATTGTAGCATGGGAACTTGGCATTCTGGCATGCAGTTTGAGTATCTAGACCTTATTCTGTGAATGACATTTCTTCTATCAGAGCATTGGTCTTATCATTCTGGACATGATCTTTTCCCTATATATAAAAAGGCTTTCAACTTGATTTTTATGGACAAAAAAGTCAGAAGATTTGAAGTGTTGATATTGTTTACCAGCCATATATACATATAATACCATTTTTGGGCCAAAATGATAGAGAATATAAGAAAATATAACATTGAAACTTACTTGGATTGACCAAGATTTACATGGCAGGTGTCAGAAACTTACTCAGGAACACCTGGTCTTATTATCTTTTTACAATTATTTTACTCACATGGACAGGAGACCGTTATCTAACTCGCATAAAAAGGAAAAAAATATCTTACTTACATAGATAGGAGACAATTTTCTTACTCGTATAGATAAGAGAGATTTATCTTACACACATAGATAAGAGACAATTATCTTACACACATAGATAGGAGACAATTATCTTACACACATAGATAGGAGACAATTATCTTACACACATAGATAGGAGACAATTATCTTACACACATAGATAGGAGACAATTATCTTACACACATAGATAGGCGACAATTATCTTACAAACATAGATAGGAGACAATTATCTTACACACATAGATAGGAGACAATTATCTTACACACATAGATAGGAGACAATTATCTTACACACATAGATAGGAGACAATTATCTTACACACATAGATAGGCGACAATTATCTTACACACATAGACAATTATCTTACACACATAGATAGGCGACAATTATCTTACTGACATAGATAGGAGACAATTATCTTACACACATAGATAGGAGACAATTATCTTACACACATAGATAGGCGACAATTATCTTACACACATAGATAGGAGACAATTATCTTACACACATAGATAGGCGACAATTATCTTACACACATAGATAGGAGACAATTATCTTACACACATAGATAGGCGACAATTATCTTACACACATAGATAGGCGACAATTATCTTACACACATAGATAGGAGACAATTATCTTACACACATAGATAGGCGACAATTATCTTACACACATAGATAGGCGACAATTATCTTACACACATAGATAGGCGACAATTATCTTACACACATAGATAGGAGACAATTATCTTACACACATAGATAGGCGACAATTATCTTACACACATAGATAGGCGACAATTATCTTACACACATAGATAGGAGACAATTATCTTACACACATAGATAAGAGACAATTATCTTACTGACATAGATAGGAGACAATTATCTTACACACATAGATAGGCGACAATTATCTTACACACATAGATAGGAGACAATTATCTTACACACATAGATAGGAGACAATTATCTTACACACATAGATAAGAGACAATTATCTTACTGACATAGATAGGAGACAATTATCTTACACACATAGATAGGAGACAATTATCTTACACACATAGATAAGAGACAATTATCTTACACACATAGATAAGAGACAATTATCTTACACACATATAGGAGACAATTATCTTACACACATAGATAAGAGACAATTATCTTACACACATAGATAGGAGACAATTATCTTACACACATAGATAGGAGACAATTATCTTACACACATAGATAGGAGACAATTATCTTACACACATAGATAGGAGACAATTATCTTACACACATAGATAGGAGACAATTATCTTACACACATAGATAGGCGACAATTATCTTACTGACATAGATAAGAGACAATTATCTTACACGCATGTCAAAATAAATTGATATTAATACATAGCTGCTCAGTTGTGAATTCCTATTAATATCATATATGTTATTTAGTAGTCTTATGTACCTGCATTGTCTGTAAGCCACAATCCTGATAGGCATACACAGAAACGAGAGGATGATAGAGTAGGAAGTGAGAGTCAGGACGCTGGTTTATCAATGTAAAGTTACATTTGCTATATACCAGAACACTGAAGGATCACAAAGCCTCTGAAATCTTTACCTCCACCAAAGCCACCTTTGACCTGTTTTTAAAATCCTGCTTTCAGTTTTTCACAGTAATCAAAACTCATTATGTCTGGATTTCTAACATTGCTTTTTAAATATTTTCTTTCTTGGAGCATTCTTTGCTTGTTGGCCATGTCATTTGTGTAATTTTCTTGGAATGCAGTAGCATAAGGACTACCCTGACTGTTAGTGAAAGTATTACTGGGATTTTCTGTTTATTGTTACTTAACAATATGCACTTACTGTCTGTAAGTAGGCATATTCCTCAAATATTATAGGGATGCCATTTCTTCAATTTGATTTCTTTGATATAAACTTAAGGATGTATTCCTATGAGAATTCCAGTTTTAAACTTTTTTCCGGTACAGGCGTCAGAATAATGTAAACCGCAAATAATTCTTGTTTTCATGGCAACCTTTTTCAAAGTAAAAATTCATCTCTCATTACAAGATAAAATTACATGATACTGGGATGTTAAGAAAAAATAAAAGATATTTTAATGTTCCAAGATGACTTAATTCCTTTATTTGAACATCTTCTAGCATTTAACTTTTTTAAAAAAAATTATGTTTGGAAAGAGAAAATTTTAGGACACATTTCTTGATTAAAAAAGAGGGGGTCTGCTTTATTTTTCGCAATTTTACCCAAATAGCCAGCTTTTTCAGAGATCAAGAAACAAGCTGAAATATTTTTTTTTGGGACCTGAAAATCTGGAAAAATGGATCTCCAAGTTGGAATTAAGATATTTTGAAGTGATGATATGTGGTGATAATTCATGCAGAATTCAGCTGAAATACACCCTAGATTTACGGAGATATACTCAAGAGACTACCTTGCACCCAGAAAACGTTGAAATTGTTCAAAGTTTTAACCAAATCATGCCATCAAAAAGTAGTCAATAGATGAAATTTATTCAAAATGTCATGAAAATAGGCATGTCTAAGTACACCTACAGATAACAAAGTGTATAAGAACACTTAAGTACTAGATATTATTTTGGAATTCATTTTATATTTAATCACTTACACTTCCTTAAGGATACTTAAGGCTTTGTAACCATGGCCTTTTATCTTCTCTACTTTTTAAACAGACTTGGTGACTGGGTGTTATTACAATTCTCAAAAGTATTTCCATTATGTAATGTTGGTACTGGAGTAATGATGCAGCACCACCCCACCACCACCTGTAGTGTGACATTAACAGGAACACATGATGTCAAATATGACATTGAGTAAGACAAATGTAAATTGTGATATTGAGAGGATCGTGTATTGTAAGATGTGACATTAAGTGGAACTTAGTTCACTGTAAGAAATTATTTTTGTGTGATAAGCAATGTTTTTATCATAGAAAATTGTATACAGGTGACAATATTTGGAGAGTGAAAAGTACAAAAAACATATGGTGAAAATTTTTGGATTGAGTCTTGTTAGTACACTACAATCCCTAATCTATCAACATGCAAGATGGCAAGATATATCAGGTGCCACATCAATCCTGAACATCAAGGTCATAGCAAGAGTATAAAGGGTCTTATATTTGTTCAGGTCAAGTTAAGTTAGGAATTTTCATTGCTGGATCAGTTGGTGATCATCACTGAGAATTTGCTGTTATATCACCTAAATTTGAGGCCACCTCTCTAAATTTTTTCACTTATTTTATTAAAAGTAGGTTAGCCTTATGACCTTGACATAGTTCAGTGTTGTGATTTTTTTTTAACCTGTCGATTATTTTGTAAATGGAAAATAGATGTGAGGTTTTAAATCACTGACTATGATGCCATTGCCTGAATTGTATATCTTGAGTTTACTTTTCACTTTTCATTTTGGCATGTCTGGCTGGGTTGTCTCTAAAGACATTTTTAGATTTACTTTATCAGGCTTTCCTAAAATATGATTTTTAGTCATAAGAAGATTTAGTTTTTGGTGATGGTATGGTAGTGATCTGTGTGATTAATGTGATTTTATTAATAGAGAATGATTGTGTGTTTTATTTTACAAATCATAAGGGAGCATGGTCATTCTGTATTAGGATTTATACATTGATGTGGAATAAACATGTATATTTTCCCTTCTCCTTCACATAAACAAAAACTATCATGTTCGTCCTGTCTCTCTGTCAATCTATCACTCCTGTCATCTCTCTAGCTGTCAGTTTTCATTGGACATCCTCTTTAAAAAATAATGTGCAATGAGTATCAGTCGAAGGGTTTTGTTATGAAAAAACAAAAATTCACCCAGTAAATGCTCTTTGTCATCACTTTGAGCAAAAGAAAGTAAATTGCTGTCTCAAATTTATCATTGTAGTGTATTATGATCGGTATACATGTATCAAATAAGCTTATTGTATACATGTGATGTATTACATGCATATCAAAATGATACATTTTAACTATAGATAATCTGTTCACAGAAACTCTCTGTAGTCTCACTTTGAAGACCAGTCTGGGCTCTTGATGACAATACAATGTATTGTTATTATGGCTGGTTCTAAAACCTATTTAAAATTGTTATCTCTGGGTTGTTATAAAATGATAAAAATAACGTCATCTGTGTTAATTTGATGGGAATACAACCAAATCTTCAGTACGTCCTTGGACTTCATGAATATCCATGGTCTTAACAATCTGTTATTGACTTCTGTACATATGTGTTTGTTAAAACATCAATTTTAAGAGGTGGTTCGTTATTATGATATATAGAGAACATAACAGGGACTCTGAAGTCAGAGACAAGTCCTTTTGCTTTGATTGTTTTTATGACAAATCTTCTATTCATGGTAAGTTCTGTTAATCTTACAGAAATAGTAAGATGACATCTTTTTGTGTTCTTTTTCAATTTTGTCCCTTTTTAGTTATTGTTTGTAAATGTGTAAAACTCCTTACAGATGTTTGCGGAGATGAATAAGAAACTGGATCCACTGTACAAAGGTGTAATGAATAATAGAGACAACTGGCAGAAAATGGCTGATGAACATGAACGTAAGATGGCAGAAGGAAAGCAGGGAAATCATGGTTAGAGATCAGTTTCTGTTTTTCAATTCACATAAGACTGCTACATATGATATGAGCTAGTATAAATGGAAATCTACCAAGGCTGCAATGACTACTTGCTTTATTTATAATGTAGATTTTAAATTGGGAATCTTTTGCCCCTTAAAAGGATTGTTGTTCCATTGTGTGAATGATAATTCACCAGAAAGCTGAGGTAGATTTTCATGTGTGTGAAAAAAAATATGAAATGGATTTCTCTCAGATTATACCTTTGTAATGATGGCTCCAAAAAAATTTCAAAATCAGTTGTTTCCTACAAATGGAACTTTATTTTATTAGATTATTTTTGTTAGATGTTACTGTAATATCATGTATTTATGTGGTACTCTAATTCTGTGGGTTTTTTTTAAATAAACGGTTTCATTGACACCTGATTTGGTGGATGAATCTTAATGCTGATGAGATCTTCTAGTACGAAAATTTGTGTCAATGTTTTTATCATTTTGTAGACATTTCAATTCATGAATTAAAAGTAATCAAAAATTTAACGAAAATGAATTTGATGCCCACAAGAATTAATGATTTTGCTATCTTCTATCAATAACTTCAAGTCTTGTTTTGTTCTTTGTTGTATTCTGTTTTTGTGTTGTCCCTGAGTGTACATGTTGCTTCATGTACAGTTCTCATACCTAATATATTGACTGTAGCACATTGTGTTTGTAATGAAAAAGTCAGTGTTACATTTAAGTTATTGTAAACAGAAAATAATCCTAAATCATTCCAGAATTAGTGATTAGAAACTCAAATTACTTACATTCATAGATCTGTGTAATGATAATGATATTATTCTTCAATAAATTTCTTTATAAGAGTATATGTAATGTGATGGGCAGAATGATGATTATATGAGAAAATTTTCGCACATGTATTTGTTTTGAATTTTTCTACCGCATGAAAATGTAATTGAAACATTTTTCCTGTCTACTACAGCACTATGAAACAGAATTATCCTATGAAAGGTATTTTGTGCTGTGATGCCATATTTTCATTTCACTAATGAACCAATGTCACTGATGTCGTTTTAACTGGACACTCAATAGCCATTGATCCTCTCCTGGTATTCTGATGAAAAGATATATATAGAAACTATTAAACATGCACATGCACACATATTCCCTCACTAAAACATAAACAAGAAATCACATGCACACATATTCCCTCACTAAGACATAAACAAGAAATCACATGCACACATATTCCCTCACTAAGACATAAACAAGAAATCACATGCACTTTTGGGAAAAGCATCTGGAAAATTATAAAATATTTATGATTGTTTCGTTGTAATTTCTAAAAGGTGGCATTTCAGCAATGCTGATTTCCCATAGAGGTTGGTCGAAAGTTTTTTCACCCTTTGAGACCACCCACCAATACATTGCTTTGTGCCATCAAAATTGGTATCCTTGGCTTTACATTTAATCCAAATTAATCGATGATGTACTGTTTAATCAACTAAAACAGAAAATACTTAATTATTTTAACAAAATAGTTTGAAAAGTTAACAAAATACCAAAATACTAAAACAGTAAGTATATTACTGAAATTGTTGATTTTTTAAGCATTTTGTGAGAAAAACATCAAATTTTTGTAAACAAATGGCATTTTGAGTGTCTTCATTGTTCAGTCCATTCAAAATTATTAAGCATATAAATAGCTTAATCTCTTACTCTAAATGAGCCTGAAGATCGATACTTCACCATTTGTGCATAGTGTTGACTTTTGGCTTTGGCGTGTATCTCCCCAATAACTTGTTGAATGATATTGGACATAGGAGACCATCTTGTTACACTCCAAACCTTCATGTACACGTGTGCCTTTCCATATAACAATCCCTAGCATGCATACTTGTTATGCTGATATGTCCTAGAATGACTGAGCAATTTCAGGTTAATGACAGTAAAAAGGTCATATTTGAAAAACAACATGTATTCATACACCAACTGAAGAGTACATTGAAAAATGACTTGAGTAAACTTTGGTAGGTTCATTGAGTCCGGGTTTAGTGGAAATATGAATATTATTTCATATACCCCAATATCATCAATTGTTCTTTTGACATTATACATTTTTATACGCCCATCCAAAGAAGGAAGTATTATGGTATGGCGCTGTCTGTCCGTCCGTCATCCGTCGTAAACTTTTATTTGTCCAGAGATCTCCTACATTTTTCAGCCTAACTTTATGAAACTTGGTAGGCTTAATCACCATGATATGAAGTTGTGTTTTCCTGAATGGGGTTTTGATTTGGTGATCAAGAGTTATGGCCCTTTGTTTATTTCACTATAGAATTTTTCAGCCTAACTTTATGAAACTTTGTAGGCTTAATCACCATGATATGAAATTGTGTTTTCCTGAATGAGGTTTTGATTAGACGATTTGAATAAGAGTTATGCCCCTTTGTTTATTTCACTATAGAAATCTTGTCCGCAGATCTCCATTTTTCAGCCAATCTTCATGAAACTTGGTAGGCTTAATCACCATGATATGAAATCGTTTTTTCATGAACAGGGTTTTGATTAGACGTTTTGAACAAGAGTTATGCCCCTTTGCTGTTTTGGATATTCACAGGTGTATTTTGTTCCGCTTTGCGGTACTCTTGTTTACTAAGACAGAGACTTTAAACGTCTAACACAGTACCATTCTTACAATGAGAGGTAGATGTGTAGGTATGGGTTGTAAAATTATCTTTAGGAGAGACATTAAAATCAAGAAACCTGCTAAAAATATGAGATGTTTTAAAAGCAGATGGCAATAACTTAACTGATGATCAAGAGATTGGTATGTGTGCTAAGTAAGTTAAAATGTTGGTGTTGATGATGATTATGAAACATTCCACTATTATCCATAAAGGATCTACTGTATCGCCAGTCTTCCCAAGCAAAATGCACACTTTGTATAAAAAGTTTCAATTAAAACTCGACCATATTACCTAAGCACACAAAACACCAACTCATCTTTCATCACAAGTTGTGGTGTCCTTGGTCTTCACGTATTTGTTCACATCATCTCATTGGGAAATATCTTAAACTTTAAAATCGGCACTGATGAAAAAAAAAATGTTGACTTCCCAGCTACCATCTAGATCAAAGGAAATCATCAATGATATTTTACAGATATCACATATGTTATTAACGCGGGAGTCTTCTTTTACTCTGCGTTTCTCCTCTCCTGGAGCACAACACTATTCTCAGCAGCATTTCTTGGCCAGCGGGAGACTCATACTTGACGGTACATATATCTTTATTTTTAAGAGTTCTTTCCACAAGTTCCAGAGAATCTCCCACCATGGCCAGAAGAAGTGGAACTATTTGAAGTTCATGAGCATAGCCCTGCCTGATGGTTACATTCTGGACACATTAGGACTTTCTCCTGGGAGTGCTAATGATGCGAAGATTACAAATACCATCATTGATAGTCTCTCCTGGCTGGAGAAAGATGACAACGTCATTGTAAATCAAGGGTTTAGGGATGTTTTGCCAGATTTGGAATCACATGATTTGACATCAAATATTTGGTCTGATCTTATAGCTGTAAAAATGATGACCAACAAGCTACTCTTGATAGCTTCGTAACTAAATCCAGATGGGTAGTGGAGTCATATCATAGACAATTCAAGTAATGATTGTTTTTGAAAACACAGCTTGCCTCCAACTACTTCATTGATGCCATCGAGGCACTCATTAGAATAGTAGCAGCCTGTTTCAAGGGAATTTGAGGATCCATATATGTTAGAACACAAGAACGAGACCCAAAGGATACAGCGATGGCTGGCAAAATGATAGTGCCCCTTAGTGTTCACAGGTTAGCTCAGCATGTGAAAAATGAGACTGATCTTTCCAGAAGGTCCAAGTCACTATTTGTCAAACTAGATGCTACTGTGGATAATTGTGACTTTCCAAAGTTAGATATAGAATACCTTTGGATAATTTCATGTAGCACATACCAAATATCATTGGCAGCTGGCTACATAAGTTAGCACTTCAGTGATGATGGATAATACATATTTCAGTGTTTAATTCAATTGTCATCTACAAAAGGTATTATTATTAATCCATTTCCATTACTGTTAAATTCATATGCCAGTTGGCAGTTATGGAGTGATATTGCACAGTTGTTAAGGTATGTAGTGGAAATACCATGGAGTGGTAAATATTATATGATGTGAGATCCACTCTAGGCATAAGAGCAGTGTAAAAACGCACTATTTGGATCCAACTTGACAGCACTGATGCCATTAATCCAATAAAGGATTATTATTGCCAGTGTCCTACTGGACAGAGAACCATGGGAGTATGTGCCCATGTAGCTAATATCCTGTACTATTTAAGATACTATATGCATTCGGAAACCAGTAACACTTTGCGTCCAAAAGTCAAAAGGTTTAAGACAAACCTCAAGTAATGTAGACTTTGCTACCAACCGTCATCTTCAAGGCATCAGATATAGTCGACTTGGAAATTTAGAACTACATTACTGTACAATGTAGATTAACACTGACATGGCCAATCAGATCCTGGGAGGAAGAAGCCTTATTGGATTCCAATTAATGTGTAACCCAACTTAAATCTGTCATTTAGCATTCTTGTTATTATATTGATTCAGTAAGAACATTTAATTTTTTTGGTTACCAGGGAACATGACGGCCATTTTGAAAATTGAAATATCACTTTAGTGAGTTATTAGTGTGACAGTCCCTTTGTACTAATGAAACAAGTGTAAACATTTTTAGTTTACTTTAAAATACTTAAATCCAAAACAGATTATTTATACTGTTTGATGAGTTTTTTTAGCACATGATTATGAATGGACTCCAATAGGAAACTGTATTTTTTACCTTTAGAAAATTTGCCTAATATAAAAGAACATGTTCTTTCTTAAAATCGATCAGATTTTTATCTCCTGTTCCCAATGCGACTTCTTGCTTTGCATATGTGATATCTAATATGTTATTATCAGCATGTTCATGTTTAGTTTTCTCATACGTTTTATTTCATTTTTGGCACATAAGAGCACCATATTCTTGTGCATGTACATATTTGGACTTTGCCCATTTGTAAACGTAGGACTACAGAGGCTACTAAGAGCACATACAAACTGTTGTATTTGCTCTTAGGCCATTTTGAAATCCCACCTTTGATTTGATGGATAATGACATGTAACTCAGCACAAAAGTATTTTAAACCTTCTTTGAGAAAATATTAAACTCATTCCTGAATTATAACATTTAAATTATAAATTATAGCATTTAAATATTAACACCAATTTCATTGAGTTATAGCCTCTGAGGGTTTTTGAAATTACTCCATATTTAACATTGTGTTTCCAAAACAAATGTACAACTAAAGTGTTGATTAATATTTCTTTGGAAACTTTTTTTTTTTTTAAGTTCAGCTATTAAAATGTATTCGTGGAAATACTAGTGAAATGTTCAGAAACTAAATCATGACATTGGTTTAAAGTGTTGAAATAAACATAGGCCATGTGATCATACTATGATTGAATAACATATCTAACTGATAAGGAACTGGACACAGAAATATCAACTGACTAAGTATCATTACATTTTTATAGTGGTAGAATTATTTACTTATTCTTTCTTGAAGTCATTCTGCCATCAAACTTCAAGAAGTTAATTAGATAGAAATATATTGCACATTGTATGCTGTAACGTAAATATATTTTTCTCTATGTATCGACCAAAATACAAGAGTATTTCTTATTTCAGTTAAATTGATTATGAAACAACATTACCTTAATTGAGGAAGTTATGGCCCAATCCTTTATCATTTATTGATGCATTGACCAGTCAGTTGTAGTGAAATACATCACTTTTGTGAACATTTTAGTCCAGTTTGCTTCTATTGCCTTATGAAAGAAGTAATGATCTAAACTTTTGAACAATATTATTTCTGCTTCTTCACAAAAAATAAACTTCCTGTACACAGAAGACTTTTGATCCATTCACTTAATTATGTGTAGTATCTATTGTGACAAGAAGCAAAATAAAATTCAAATGTTGGAATATCTCTTTTTGGTTTAAAAAAAGTGGCTTTCTGGTAGTGTTATGAAACAGTAAGTTCATTATGAAATTAGAAGTTGGAATGGAATGATAAGTTGGTCCTTGATAATAAGTACTAGTGAAATGAAAATGAACAAACAACCAGAAAGACGCTTCTTTTATTTACTGTCCTGCATTTGTACTTGGACATTTGATATTTTGTTAAATTACAAGTTAGAACTCCTTACAATTTCACAACAATGCAGCATTCAACAAGAGAAAAAACTTTAGTTCCAAAAGATGAAATCAATTACAGTAACTTCTTTTGATGATGAAAATACATTTATACTGTAAATGAAAGTGATTTTATGTTACATAATTATTTGAACTTTTCAGATTCTAGTGGTGACACAGAATCACTTTCATGCATCGTTCCATTCAGCCTTGATCTATCGAATTTATCACACAATTATTTTCAGTTGTCGGTAAAATTCAATGGTAAATAAATAAATATGAAATCAATTCTCCATTGACATTATAGAATGCTTTACTTCTCCAAAGGCCCTTTTTATGTTCAAATCTTATTGATACTAAATATGTTTGAAATACATACCATTATAATGTCACAGGTTTGTTTGTTTTTCCTTGATGTGATACTTGTTATAAACATGAGCTCACGCTTAAATTATAACTTTTTTTTGTCATTTACAGAACAAAAACCTGCACCAGCCAACAACTCCAGTCCAGAACAGAAAACACAAAATGGAGGAGTGCGCAAAAACAGCACAAATGCCCAGCCAAAAAGGGTTAGTTAGCAAAGAATTGATATTCTAGCAATACAGAGAAAAAAATGAAATATATGTAGAAAGCTTCTATCACATTGAATCCAGTTTGAACTTTTTTTACAATATTCTTACATTCAAAAGGAAAAACAAAAATTAACAAAATTTAGAATGATAACATTGGTAACCAATTATGGCGCAGACTTTTCTATCCAAGTATACAAAGATTGATACATTTTACACAGGTGAACAATTCCAAGTCTAATTGTTGTATGATTAAAATATTTGAAGTGAACTAAATGTTTTTCTTGCTTTATTCCAGTATGGATCTAATGTGATACCAAACAAACCAGAGACAAAAACCTATAAAAAGACCAAGATTTGCTCTTTGATGTGACAAAGTGCAACTCCTTCATCTTGTGTTTTTAGATTTTATGGCAAGGGTCAAAGTTTGTTCATATGTCATGTACACAAGAGGCTAAACACAAGAGAGATGACTTATGGATGATCGTTGACTCACCTGGAACAATCAATCTTCTGGCAGCTTATGTTGGTCTGACATCAAACTATGCTAAAATGTCGGGGATTTGGCCTAGAGGACACTGAGTGCTGACTGGTGCAGGTGGAAATTGGAAACCTGGTCATATTTGTCATCACCTATTTCTGCTGATGTGTATTTACTCTGTGTTGTTTTTTGTTATAATAAAATATCATTTGTAAATATGTGATATCTTCACTATCAGCTAAGTTATTCTAAAATTCGACTGTGCAACATAACTCGAAATTTACAAAACTTCACAACTATATGTTATGGTACAGAAAAGGACAAACACATTTGCATGTTATTAATTGGAATTTAGGTATCATAATTTAACTGTAAATACTAAATTAGATGCACACATCAGTATACAGATTTTCTCAACAAGGTTTTCTGTTAAATATCATATCTTTTGTTTTTTCCTTATCAGTTGATATTAACTATATCTTCAAAACATTTTTTAAAAACATTTATCACAAGCCTTTTTCTTATATCCCTTTTTATTTGTATTTTTATTCACATGAGGGCATATTTTATATATTGATAAAACTAACCCTCAATAATGACATCACAATGCTGACAAAACACTTTCATTTCATTTATAATTTTTTGAACACTTGTTTGAAAATTAATTTATTTCTGACACAGCAATGAAAAGTGCTGAGAGTTCTATAAAGAGCCAGGATTTTGCTTAGCGTTGTAGTTAGGTTTACATGAAAAATAAGGTTTTAACTCCACTAAGCTATTGATATTATCAAAAGAGTGTTGTAATTAACTGTATTACAACACTGCAGTAAACTTTCTATGTAAGATATGTGATGATGATATATTGAGCATTTCAGACTGTTTATTATAGATTCATCTTTTCCCATTTAGAATGAGCCATGCACAGTAAATAATGATCTATCTCATTAATATACACACCTTGTACAAAGCAAACTACAAATGACATTGTGACATTTTTGCAGACATTTTTGTCTCATCATCAGCCTCTATTTACCATGTGGTATAAACATATATGTTTTGTGTGTGGGCTCATTAAAAACTGTCACTGGCTTTTATGACTTTTGATAGAAGTAATACTTCTCAAAATGGCAAATCAGGAGATTACAACCAAACTTAGTTTGAAATTGACCAACACATTTCTATATTTTGTTCAAGAGCACATATATTCACTGGTCTTGAGTCTAAGGCTGAACAATGTGGATATGAACATTCAAGTGTAGTAATGATATTTTAGATTAAATTTCAACAAGTCATGTTTTGTTTCTAAATCATTTTATATTTGTGATTTTAATTTAAATCTTTGGCTCATCAACAATCTAACAGTTGGATCCAAAGTATCTCATTTATGTCGGTATATCTGGTTTCTGGAGCATTTACCCATCATATTATATACACTAGTACCAGGTGATCTGCCTTGTGCTCCTGTAAATTGGTACCAAATCACCGAAAAATGTGATCTTTTAAAACCGTCTTAAAATATGTTCAAGGTAAATTTCTGATTCACTCTAGGATACTTAGCTTGTTTAGGTTGAAACTTTTACATGAGAGCATCTTGGTTTAGTAAGCACTGGTTTTGATCTGATACCCTAAAACTTGTGAGACGTTTTATTGTCCAATTTAGCCGCAGTAAGTCGGCCACGAGGTCAACACCTTACTAATGCCTTTAAATTGGGGATTGGCTTCTTACACAACAGTGAAATATTTTTTGTAATAATAGAGTAATCAAAATTACATAGCATGGGTTTATTTATAAATAAACCTAGAGTGTGTAACTCTTTAATTGTTTTATACTGTCAGCAGATATCTTAAACTCTCTGAACTTGTGCCAAACCTGTATTCCTGTGATCATTCATGTGTACAACTCTATGTATTACAGTCCATGCTACCTAGGTAATTCATGGTTAGTTGTGTAATATCAATAACATATATTTTTCATTCAGAGATAAACCTCTACATTTTCCCTTTGTCTGCCTGATGAACAAGATAGATCAAGGTGCAGTTTATGCTTTGGTGCTTTGTCTGTTGTCCATCCTTTCATTAAATGACATTTTTCGAACTAAGGTATATATGAAACTCAAGTTTGGCCAGAAGCATAATTATAATTGTGTTTTGATGAATTTTGTTATCGATAATTGTATATTTTTGCCGAAAGTGCAATGTCTAATATAAAAGTCTATATAGAGGCTTTTTATGGACTATAACTTGTGACAGTGTAGTTGATATTATGGTTACGTTTTAGAGTCATCAATTTCAATTTTTTTTCCATTGCAAGGGTGCTCCTCTTGACTGTAACTCTGGGAGATTTTGGCAGAATTCAAGAAAATTTTACATGAATTATCCCCACAAATCACAGATTTGAAATACATGAATTATCCCCACAAATCACAGATTTGAAATACATGAAAAGTTCAACTTCAGAACATTGTCAAATCAAGTAATTAAGCAATTTTTCCAAACTTTTTATTTTTGCAGTTGTTTTGAAGATTTGCAGCTGTCAAGTCAAATTGAAAATTTAGTTATCAACTTGAGATTAATTTTTCTTCTCCCAGTATCATTCAACTGCATTTAAATACCAAAAAATTTTGGTACAATATCTGCCTCAAAATTAACCAAAAGAAAAATGAGAAAAGCAGTATTTATTTTTAGATTACTTTCGACTATCTAACCTTTCAAAATATCACCGGAACGATGACCAGATTTTCAAAATTTTTGGCATCTTGAGTTTCATACATCCTTATAATTTCTGCACAGATTGCAAACAAATTTATGGGCATTTTTTAAAACCTTTTGTATTTTGGTTGAGGAGCTGTGTCAGAGTTTGAAAAATAACTATTTTGAATGATTCTTAAAACTACAGTATGCATAAAATTAGAAGCACTTACCAATTGTGGAGGTGGACTGCAATGAAGTAACATCATCAAGGCTAATTATACAATCACATTTAAGTGTACGAGTCAAGGCTGCTGTATAGGGCCTGAAATTAATGTTCAACTTGTGTATATATTTATCTATATGTATAAATACAATTTCCTGTGGCACACAACTTTGGTAATGTTTGTATATATCTGCTAATAATGTATATACAAACATCACCACGACTTGTTTACAAGGCACAACTCTTATCCATAGCTGTCTCATAATGATAATTATAACTGAATGTTGTACCTGTTAAGATAGCTCTATAACTGTTGTAATGATCTGTTGAAATCCTCTCTATTCTATTATGGTAAACTGTATTTATTGTTGTGATATTGTGATAGAAAAATCTGTCTCAAACTGTTTCTTGTTAATGTTATAAGTTCTTAGCTGGAATGGAATAAAAATGATTATTTATTTCTCTATATGTTGTGTTATTTTTTAACACCAGCTCTTTAATATTTGTTTGGAGTAGTTTTTACACTAACACGGACCTAGATTAATAGAATCTTTCACCCAATTGGAGGTGAGATTGGTGGATCACAACTGAAGAGGAAATATGATTAAGTTAGCAAACATGAGGCTTGATGAGTGTGTGCAACTTAAGTTTCTCCTATCTCACCAACATGGTGGTGAATGGTTATTTTTCTCTTACCCTTCTAGTTTTAGTTTTTGTTGTTCCAGTGCTTTGCATCATGACAAGATTGAATTACTGACGTGACGCTGTTAAATTGTTACTGTGATGCCACATCATTGTCTGCACTGGAGAATCCCTAGGGAGAGACAAGGAAATTTCACACCCCTAAAAAGGCATGGATTTATCTTTTCAGCGTAAGAGTAATTTGGATCCTCTGCCAAAATAATTCCAAGGATACTTCATAAGATGATTTAATTTAATAGTCAAAATGAAGGATGGAATGGAAGTTGTGATTAAAGTATTAATGAAGTTTTATGAACAGCTTTGGAGATATGTTGTGGAAATACTGAAATCATTGTTTCCATGGTTACTATAAGAAGAGGCCCATAGGGCCTGTTTTGCTCACCCTATGTAGTTTGCTGAAAATTGATTTATTTTGACAAAAGGAAAAGTATTTAAAATTCTTGTATCTATTTCCCCAGAGTAGGCTCAACCCTCCTCCAAAAGGAGGTAGATGCAGCTGTTTGTAAATAATTAGGTTCTCTTCATCAAGAATCTCATCAGTTCCAACATGATGAAGATTTTAAATAATTTACTCTGCTATTTGGCCCAAGCCCTCTTGTCGAAATGGACCAAAACCCACTGTTCATACAAAATTGATCCCCTTTTCCCCAAGCATGTCTCACACCAGATGAGACAGAATCCAGGCATTCCTACATAAGAACAAGATCGATTTAAAAGAATATGATAGATTTTTCCTATTGGGCCTGACCCCATGAAATCGAGACCCACGAAGAACACATGATTGTTTTTTCCCCAAGGATGCTTCAGACCAAAATTTGATTAAAATCTGTTATAGTAAAAGTTGACAGACAATGGATGATGCAGTATCCCTATAGCTCACTAGGCCCTTTTCATTTGGTGGGGGATAATAAGCTCTAAGGAATTATGAATAAAATATTCAGAAGTTTCTCAGGAAACTTCATTCAGAGGCACCACTTCACAATGAAACATTTATTTATGTCTTGCAATTCACAAACACACAAAGGTGCCAACAATTTTGAAGTTATTTAGATATCTTGTAATAATAAATGTTGTTCATGCACTTTTCAATTTCAGAGAATTGACAGGTACACTGAGCAGTATCATCGAAGTCACATTTAACATAGGTACTGTGCGTTAACTCATAAAGCTCCATTTATTTTGCTTGGGTTTGAGGCATATGTGGGGCGGTCACCATGTTCTGGCCACAGGTTCTGGTTTTTTTCTGGGAACTGCAGATTTCCTCCACCAACCAAACCTTGCATGTTCTTAAATGACCCTGGCTGTTACAAGACAAAGCAACAACACACTAAACCCTTTTTAAAATCTCTACAGGAATTTAACAGTTAGTGTTTAAACATGTGTTGCTGTATCCTGACAGGCACAGTCTGCTGATCATTGAAACTGCCATGGACACGTACTGTGACTCTTGGCTGTTGTAATATTCTAACAAGAGGCCCATGGGCCTTAACGGTCATCTGACAAAAAGCAAGCCAAACTCTAACAACAGTGAGTCTGCTTTTAAAACAGTGGGCTTTATTCATTTGAATAAACTTGGTAGCCCTTCCTCCCAGCATCCTACAGGCCCAATATCAGCACTCATGGACTTTTGCTTATTGAGAAGAAGTCATTTGTATATTTCAACATATTTGACCCCTGTGACCTCGAAAGTGGGTCAAGGTCATTCACTTGAACACATTTGGTAACACTTCCTCAAAGCATCCTACAGGCCCAATATCACTCTAATAATTTTGGTTATTGAGAAGTCATTTGCAAATTTTAACATATTTAACCCCTGTGACCTTGAAAGTGGGTCAAGGTCATTCATTTGATCAAATTTGGTAGCATGTCATCCCAGCATCCTACAGGTCCATTATCAGCACT